TAATGTGGTACTTAATTTGAATTATGTTATTATTTAAAGATTATTGGGTCTATGTTTTACCAGTAGAAAATCTATGGCATTACTTATAAAACTCAAAGGGACATAAAAGCAATTCTATAGAGCAGGGGTTCCCAACCCCCGGGCCATGGACCGGTACCGGTCTGTGACCTGTTAGGAATTGGGCAACGTAGCTGGAGGTGAGAGGCGGGTGAGTGAGTGAAACCAAAACCATCCCCATCCCAGTCCATGGAAAAATTGTCTTCCACAAAATTGGTCCCTGGCACCAAATGGATGGGGACCACTGCTGTGGAGGAGACTTCAGTGTGGGCTTTTGTAAATACTGCATATGCATTGGAATAATATAATAAAATTTAACTATTGTTTTTTACAACACAGTTCAGAGAAAGCTTCTATGAAGTTCCTTTGAGACTATACCAATGCACATAGAGATGCACACCATCCTCAAAGAAGAATGTTTTTTTTATCTCCTTTTCACTGAATGGAAAAGATCTATTAAAAAGTGACTAAATTGGATTTCCTTTTTTAAAAAATCTTCATTAGAGCTTCAGTGTAATGTAGTAGCTAGAACAGAAGAGACACTAAGGCTTGAATCCATTCTCATCTGGGGAAACTAGCTAGGTGACTTTAGGCCAGTCACACTCCTAGCCCCTCCTACTCCTCACATTTGGTTTGAAACTAAAAGGAAGCTCTAACTTTATTTCCCCATCACACACTCCTGAAGAAAAGACGGAATATAAATCCAACTAAAAACAAATCAAAATCTTTAAAAATAGGCTTAGGCAATGATTCAGCTTTGCCATCCTTGTACAATGAGTTTAGCATACAATGAATGTCCTTTTCTCTTTTAATATTGTAGATCTCCCGAATAATTCGGACAGCATGTGGAAATGCTTTACTTGTAGGAGTTGGTGGTTCTGGAAAACAGAGTCTTTCAAGGCTTGCTTCTTTTATAGCTGGATATAGAATCTTTCAGATAACTTTAACAAGGTCAGAAACATATACTTAATCAAAAATGATTTTGAGTTTCCATGCAGAATTAGAAGCTCTTATTTGTGATGAAGGTAGATTGTGTATATTTATGTGTATATAGGATCATTGTTATGATATTAATGATTATATTCAACTGTTGAGTCATATTAAATCAAATACTAAAAAAATGACATAACTGAGGAAAGAATTTCTATTTATGTGAAGAAATTCTTGTCCTGCCCTCTTATAATACAACTTATAATACAACTTTTCAAATGGCACTTGGCATGCCACTTGGAAAAGACTTGGTATGACTGGAAGTTCCTTCTCAGATGCCTATCCCAGGTCTTTGGGAAGGACTTCACAGGTAGATAAAAATGCCAAATGCAGTCTAATATCTGACTGACTGTGCAAGCAACCATAATGTAAGAGTTACAGTATACTAAACTAAAATATTTATATGCCATCTACATTTATATGCCATCTATAGATAAACAAAAACATTAATTTCATTTGTGATCCCTCTCAAATTAACAAATGTGCATATTTTCTTTTATTCTTGAATTCTTTTAACTGCATTGATACTTTGCATATGATGAATTTTTACTGGCAATCTTATAATGCAGAAAAGTTATTACAATTTAAATTGATCATATCAATGTGATTATTGATTGATAATAACTCAATTTACTTAAGATTAGGATCTGACATATATTCTGAGGCTGTGCTACAGAGTTAAGTATTATAAAGCATCAGTGGGACAATGCTGTCAGTAGATGTGAGTTATAGTTCAAGCAGAATGCTAATATATTATGTTGGTTCACAGCTGATTCATGATGGTACTGTGTCTAATTTATACAAAGATAACCTTAATTTCTCCTAAATTGGTGAACAAGTTTTGCATAAAAATATCCTGGAATTATCATTAGCTCAGACTCGAAAAGCTACTTGGATAAGCAGCAAAATGTTTCAAACCCCTCAAAAATAGTCTAGTTGCCATGATTCAACTTCCAGACAACTCTAGCTGGCTGATTGAGAATCTTCGTAGACATCCTGGAACCAAGTTTAATTTTAAATTGGGCTTATTTTTAATATATAATCTAATTCCACATCGTTCTCTTTGTTTTGATTCAGTTTGAACAAATTGTATCTTTCAGTTGTTATAGTCCAGTCCTGGCAGTCATCCCAAACAGGTTTCCTTTTTATCTATTAAATCAGATGTGCCTTTATCTACTAAGAGCTTAAATGCATTTTGTTTCTTTCCCACACTTTGACATTAATATGTGGGCAATAAACCTCATGACTGATATCCCAAAGGTGCTTTTTCACGAGGCAACTTGACTTTCTTATTTTTCTTTAAAGATGTTTCACATCTCATCCAAGAACTTTCTTCAGCTCTGATGAATGATACTTTTTCTTATTTTTGCTTGAGTGGTTTTAGAAGTTCCATTTCAGTAACACTCCCCATTAAAATATGCAACAAAATTTCTTTATGGATATAAGAGAGCATTTATAGTTGCATATGGAAGTCTTCTCACCTCCAATCCTTGCTGTATTTTCATTAATATTTCCTAAACTTATAGGTGATGAATTTCTACTGCAGGTTAAATTTGTTTGTTGGTTTGCTTTCTCCTCTCAGGTCCTACAATGTGACCAATCTAACAGATGACTTAAAGAACTTATATAGAGTTGCTGGTGGTGAGGGAAAAGGAATCACATTTATTTTCACAGATAATGAGATAAAAGACGAAGCATTTCTTGAATTTCTTAATAATCTGCTTTCTTCTGGAGAGGTTAGAATTTCAAATCACTATAGAGGTTGCTGTTATACTGATTATAGCATTCTTACTTGTAGTTAAATATACCAGTAAGCTTCACCTTGATTAAGACCCTGATAAGATGACTCATAAAGCATAAAATTTAATCTCTGAAGCACTTTGGAAGTTGCTGAGTTTTATTCAAAAGCTAATTTGATGTATTAGTTTGAAAAATTGAAATTTCATTTATTCATTGACAGTAATCTGAAGCATAAAGTAGTATAACCTTTTTTTCCTCACAAGAAATACATAAGGAAGTAATAGACCTCTATAACAGAATGAAACTTAATAAATCTGAGACAAATAAATGCAAGGGATTAGCATCAGAATCTTTAGCTAGCCAGTATCCCATTTTGTTTCAGTGGAGTATATTTGCTGTAACTTATTATTATTCATTTATCATCTAATAAAGCTAATAATATTTCTAGAATGTTCAATATTTTAAACTAGCTGTAAGCATTGGAAAGAATAAAATCCCAAGCACAAAAGACAAAGTGCAACATTTTGAATACCGTGTACATGAATATCTATGCTTCATTATTTCTTGACATCATATATTTTTATAAAATACATTAGCGAACCTCAGTTACCTATGAATTATAAACTGAAGCAGATGTCTCCTGAATTAGGAGAGTCTTGGAATCTATAAATTAAAAACTGTGGTATTTTAATAATATTCATAAACATCTTTTTTCTGTAATTTTAAGATCTCCAATTTATTTCCTCGAGATGAACTGGATGAAATAACCCAAGGACTTATATCTGTAATGAAAAAAGAGCTGCCACGAGTTCCCCCAACTTTTGATAATCTTTATGAATATTTTATATCACGGTCAAGGAAAAACCTCCATGTTGTACTCTGCTTTTCTCCTGTGAGTTTCCTTTAAATATATGCTTAGACAACTAATGACCCATTAGATCATCATTTCAGAGATATTTCCTTGCCTAAACAGAGAAACAGGATGATCATGGGTAGGCAAAAAAGCAGTGGGAACGGGAACTTCTGACTTCCTGTTGGCTTTCTCATTGACTTCCCTTGTAGGACGTTGGCAGGGAACATTGGAAATGACAATCACGTGATTATGGCTGACCATAGCATCAGGATGGTGCTAAAGTAGCTACATCCTCAACAAATGTCAGTCTTGTGGGACTAATGGGTCCCAGACTTTTGATGCATTATGTTAGCCCAGTTGAGGTATAGGTGGGCCTCAATTTACGAGTACAATTGAGTCCAAAATTTCCATTGTTAAGCAAGACAGTTTAGTGAGTTGCATCCCATTTTATGAATTTTATTGCCACAGTTGTTAAGGCAATCACTGCAGATGTTAAGTGAATCTGGCTACCCTCTTTGTACTTTGCTGGTTGGAAGCCAGCTGTGAAGTTACAAGTCATAAATACATGCTAGTTGCCAAGCACCCAAATTTGTTCAAGTGACTATGGAGATTCTGCAAAGGGTCATAAATGTGAAATGTGGTCGTAAGTCACATTTTTCAGTACTGTTTTAACTTCGAGCGTCACTAAATGAATGTAAGTCAAGGATTATCTGTTATTTCAAAAACTGTTGCCCTATGATGCACATGTTACCCAATTGAAAGTTACAAACAGGAGGGTTTTAGTAGTGGGTGAGTTAATGTGTGTATGTTTATTAAGGGATTGCAAGGTTGTAAATAGGGATTCATTATTTTTTTGTCATTCTAAGCCACTGAAAAATTATAAAAATTATAAATAAGATTTTTTTTTTAAAAAAAGTAAAGTTCCAAAGAAATCCTGCAAGTTTAATTCTGCAGTCATTTTTGTAGGAATGTCTATTAAGTTAAAATAGACTTCTGTATATATAAATATAGTATAAAATATTCAACCCAATTCTATATATGCTATTTGGAAGTAAGTGCCACTCCCAAATAACATGCACAGAAGTATAAAGTAAAGTTCAGAAGGATTTCCTTTCTTAAGGATACAAATAATGTTCTAGACCAGGGGTGTCAAACTGCCGGCCCATGGGCCAGATGCATCATGTGGGAGCCACGCCCACCCCAGCTCCAGCAAGGGGGAAAAAGTCACAATACATTGCAACATATCATGTGACACGGCAAGTTTGACACCCCTGTTCTAGACCTATTTATTCCAGATCTAGACATAGCATGGCATTTATGTTGTATAGCAATATTCAACATAAGTTTGCTTTTAAAAAATACAAGCATTGTTAGAATCATGTTTCTAATATTTTGTTCCTCTATTAAATTATTTAATTAGCAATTACTTTGTTATAATTAACAGCTTACATTCTAAAATACTTATATTAAAATATGAAAGATATCATAGGAGCCTTTTTTCTCCTCTCTCCAATGAGGTTTTATGATATTACAGATCTTGTGCAGATTAGCTCATATTTATACTAAGCAATAATGTGATTTCCTTGGAATGTTATATGAACACAGCTAATATGAATATCACTAGTGCCTTAAAAATTAACATGTTGTTTATTGTGATTAATCCATAGGTTTAACACAATGTATGAACCTAGACTATGTGTATAGTCCCAGCTTTTTTTATATGTAACAATTGCACTGGAAACTGTATATAAGTCAGACAGCATATAAGTTTAATAAATCATCATCATCATCATCTTGATCATCGTCATGATCATCATGATCATCATCATGATCATTATCATGATCATCATGATCATTATCATCATCTGTTATATTTGCCATAAATATATTTCATTGATATGTCACTTTTTCTCTATGTCTTATTTTTGCTAGGTTGGTGAGAAATTTCGTGCACGGTCTTTGAAGTTTCCTGGTCTTATATCTGGATGTACTATGGATTGGTTTACTCAGTGGCCCAAGGAAGCCCTTGTTGCTGTGTCACAATATTTTCTGTCAGGTTTCAATATTGTCTGTTCTTCTGAAGTTAAAGCACACGTGGTAGAAACTATGGGCATCTTTCATGACCTAGTTTCAGAAAGCTGTGACAATTATTTTCAAAGGTAATATTTAAATGTGTATAATTCTGTAATAGCTGTTTTAAAAATATATGGTTTTATATACATAAAATTTTTTATAGGATGAACACATTTTACAAGAAAAAAGCTAGCAGAAAATGGACATGGAAGAGTCCATCGGGATACTCCAGCGAAATTGACTATATCATGTCAAGTGATAAAACCATATTCTGCCATTGTACTGTCATCAATTGTTTTAATGTTGGAAGTGACCATAGAATGGCACAAGCTAAAATGAAGATAGACTGTCGAAAAGAATGTATGAAAATGATAAAGATGTCATGAAAAACAAAAAAAGAGTGATAAGCTGTTAGAGGAGAACAGCAACGTTGAGATTAATCTGTCAAATTGCTTTGCTCTATTTCAACATTTGGAAGAGATGAACATTACAGACTAAAATGAACAAATAGTCAAAAACATTCTTGAATCTGCTGCATCTATAGCACTGCCAGAAAAACACTTGGTACAGTCAAAAATCTCTGATGAAACTATTGATTTAATGAAAAAATGATAGACAATGAGGAATACCAGATGTTTCACTAATAAACTGGAATACATTGAACTTTGCAAGACCATAAGAAAACATATCCAAAAAGAAACACATCAATTTAATGTGAAGCTTGTGAAAAAGGCAATTGAAGAAAACAAAGGAATTAATAAAGCAAAATGCAAGCTTATAAACACAAGAAACAAGGTTTTTGCATTAAAATGTGAAGATGGCTCTGTGTGTAGAACAAGACATTAGAAATAATTGGAATTCTATCCAGAGCTATACAAAGATCAAGATCACTCAAAAGAAACTACATCCATGAAAGAGGAAATGCCAGCTATCCTAGTGGAGGAAGTATCAAGTACCATAAAATCAATGAAAAATGGCAAAGCTTCAGGAAATGACTATGTTACGGTTGAAATGCTAAAACTGGTGGTCACAGTTTACACAAGATAATAGCAAAACTATACCCAAGATGCCTCAGAGAAGAAAAAAATACCTGATGCATAGAAAAATGTTGAAGTGATTCTTACACACAAGAAAGAGCCCAAGATGTTTTAAAGAACTATCGCCCAATAACCCTTCTCTATCATCTACAGGATTTTCACCAAGATAATAGCAAAAAGAATATTGAGCACATTAAATGATGCACAGCCAAAGGAGCAAGCAGGGTTCAAGGTTCAGGCTACAGCATAAAGGATCACATCCAGGTTGTTCAGCAAGTCATTGAAAGGCACAACAAGTGCATGGCTTTCATTGACTACGGAAAAGCGTTTGGCTCAGTATTCCAGCAAGCAATAATTAATACATTGCTCTAATTAACCATGGCATAGACACTGCTTATATAAATTTAGTACAATCAATATATAAAAAAAACCAATGGCGACAATTAAAATTTTTCAGTCAGTGTGTGTTACCTGCTCTAATATATGCCAGTGAAACATGGACATTAAATTCACAATGGATACTAAAGCTATGAGTGGTGCCAAGAGCCATGGAAAGATACATGCTCGGCACTACAAGACAAGATAGAAAGACCCGCACATGGTTTAGAGAACAAACAAAAGTATACGATATCATCAAGAGAGTAAAAGAACTGAAATGGAAATGGGTTGGTCACATAGAAGAAGAACTGATGGCAGGTGGACCAAGGCAGTCATAGAATGGATCCCATTTGATAACAAGCATCCATGAAAGAGACCAAAAACAAAATGGATCAAAGACATCAGCAAGTATTGCGGGCCCAATTGGCAAAAGAGAGCTCAGGACCATATTGGTTGGAAACATGCGGAAGAGGCCTTCATCTTGCAGTAGATAGACAATGACTAAGATGATGATGATGATAATGATACATAAAAAGCATTTTGCAATTTAATCTCAGCATATTATACAATTATAAATTTGGAATAATTTTCAAAATCGTGTGTTCCAACCTCCTGATTGGGGCAGGATCTATAATAGTATCACTGATTGATGAGTATCCACTTTCTGCAGTTTCTGTTTGAAGAATTCTAGTGAAAGAAAATTCACCACATCCTATGGTTGCTGTAAATAACATCACTAATATATAGTAAAAAGCATAACACCTCCATTGCCTTATTTTTCTGTGTCAATTGCCACCCTTGCAAAGCGAAATATACTTACAATTCAAAAGCAACCCAGTCATACTTTGACAATTGATAAATAGAGATGTAACAGAAAATTATATATAGAACCATTATTTTGGTTTCAGGGGAAACATGATTATTTTACAGACTTTACTTCCTAAATTAATGTTTAGAACTGTTATCATTTACATAATATAATAATCTAATACCCTAGGTTGTATCTTGAGATTATTATATAGTTGTGGCATTTAAATCTGAAGAGATATCACTATTATAAATTACAGATATCGGCGAAGAGCCCATGTCACCCCCAAATCTTATCTTTCTTTCATCAATGGCTACAAAGATGTTTATGCTGATAAGCTGTTCAGCATTAATGAACAAGCTGAGCGAATGAATATAGGTAAGATAAGTTCAAGTCAAAGATCTTATTTTTTCAATCCTTTTACTATGTCATCATATATCAATATATTAAGAAGTGAGCCTCAGCTGGACTTGTTTTCAAAAGCATATATAAGACCAGAGCTTAATCTTCTCTACTAACTGATTTTAAAATTGCAAATGGATCAGTTGTTTTGTTCCTATAATCATTTATTATTTGGGGGGAGTTAATTATTATTCTTTCTCTTGTGATAATTAACTATCCTGGAAGTACTTGTTATGAAAAGTAGGGTGTAAATTTGATAGATAAATCAATATAACAGTTAATTAAACATAATTATTTATTCATTATGTAGCATCAAGTTGAAGTCAAGTTTTAGTGACTACATCAATAGAGAAGAATATGGTAACTAGCACAAGGTAGATGCACTCAATTACAGCAGTGATGGATTCACCAGTATTTCTCTATCTTGTCAACTTGAAGATGGGTGGACTTCAACTCCCAGAATTCCCAGCTCTATTGACTGGGGAATTCTGAGAGTTGAAGTCCACCCATCTTCAAGCTGACAAGGTTGAGAAACACTGGGATACACTATGGAAAACTCTGAAGGGCCAGGTAGGGAAGATCACGTTGGAGAAAGTTTATGTGGTTGTTAAGTGTTAACACTGACATAATGGTCCATAATTAATCAAAGAAAGTGAATGAATAAAGACTGAATCACAAAACATGATGTAAAAAAATCAGTGAATGGGTTAAGTAGATGGAGTCAAATTATGATTTAATGGAGTTGATGAGATCCTCAAAACATGAAAAGTTTGAACAAGAGGCACACTACGAAGTGCTGTCAAGTTGTTGTGAATTCAAGGACCATTTTGTTGTGAAATCTGGGATAGAAAGATATGGGGTAATTTATTTGATGGCATTAGTATTAAATGGCTTAGCTATTGTTACTTTTATTTTTTCAATCACCTACTTATTTTCTCAGTTTACTTTTTCTTTACTCTTACTGCTTTTATGTACTTTACACTATGTTGCTTATCCTGAAAAGGAATAGCAAAATAGATACAGGTTGATAGATTTGTTTAACTGAGCTCTCTGAAGATCTGAACCTACTGGTAAATTTTAGTCCAGGAGCCAGACACTTACCCACCTCTTAGTGGAAGATTTTGGCTGTTTATGTTCATAATATTGCCTTAACACAAAATAGAACTATAAATGATTGCGGATTTCATTGGATTTTGACCATTATTATAGGCCTTGCTAAACTAATGGAGGCTAGTGAATCTGTTGCTAAACTCTCTCAGGACCTGGCAGTAAAAGAAAAGGAATTGGCTTTGGCTTCTGTAAAAGCAGACAAAGTAAGTATAAGCACACATTAGAACATTAAGTACACAAAGGTTGTTCATGGATTTTTATTTGTTTGGCCTGAGTTTTTAAGCAAATCTGTTGACACCTCCTGGATCAATTCATAACTATCCTCTAATTTTTTCCCACTGCTCAAAAATATGCATTTTAGAATCTGCAATGGATGGAAGTTCATTAAAGTCTAATACCATCTATTCATGGTGTTATTCTTTTTATACTGTACAGCTTCAGAGCTTAGACAAATGCTCAAAATTGATCTGATGACATAGTTCCTTGATCCCTTCCCATAATGATTATTTTAACTGCTACAACTTGGTTAAGTCTATTTATTTATTTATGGCAATTGATTGAATACTGTCTAGTCCATAAATTCAAGGCACTTTAGAACAGTTATACTGGAAATAAAATCACAAAATCTAGCACCAAACATAACACATTATGTATGTATCATAAACATCTACAACACATAAAAACAAACAGTTGTCTAGCCATACAGTTCCAAGTTGAAATGGTTGTTGTGGCCTTCCAAAAGGACTGTACAGTGGGGGCTATATCACCCTATATTTTTAGGTGTTTCACAATGTCAATGAAATGATTAATCTATCTGTCAGTGATAGCATGGTCCCTGTTCTCATCAAAAAGTCATGATAAGTCTTTTATTAAAGAATTTTAGAAAATAGTTAATTGAGCCAGTTACTACCAATGTTTAATTCTCCATTCTTTTCAGCTTTAGGCAGTGTTGAATGAGGCTGATTTTTATAGATTCTTGTCACCCTAACCCAACCGATATCTCTTTTTCAAAAGTGAAAAGCCCAGGAACCAGGATAAAGTAATCAGTCTTACCTTGAAGCCATACATCTTCATAATTGAAAAGCTGGAGCTGATTTCTACCTACACTTTTGCCCTCTGGCTTGCATTGCTACATGTCCTTTCCATTTAACTAGGTGCTCAGACTGTGTGCTCAGCAAACAAACATTTACATATATCATCAGGAAGAAAACTACACAACTTTCTACAATTTTCCATTAAAAAGGCAGGTTTCAATGAAAGTGATGTGTAGGAAATGGGAGAAAGAACTGATAACAAAAGGGACATGTCAACGCTGCTAACATTGGATGTTCTTGCTTTGACAACAGTTGGAAATGCAGCCATTTTACTCTTTTGCTTTTAGAGTTAGTTGATGCTGGGAGGGGGAATGTGGACGAGAGTCCAGCTAATCATAACAATAATAACTCAGCCATGGGAATCCAAGATTATTGCGCTCAGAGCTGATAAAGATTTGACAGGCTGGAGAGCTGGGGAAAAAGCCCGGGCTTCAAGCTAATTGGGGAAAGTGATTTATGACTGTTAATTGGAGGAGGGAATTGTGCTTTGCTACTTTGTGCCCAGGGGAGGGGAATTCAGTTTTTGGCTTTAACTATGTAGTGCCGATACATTGTTTCTCAAATAAAAGATTCTTTAAGGTGAACAATGCCTTGAAGTTCTTTTGAAGAGTTTCATCTGTCGGAACCATGATAGGACATACAAAGTGGTAGCTGAAGTCAGTAAGGATGGAGTCAAGAAAACTAAAGCTGAGAATGAGCTGCATCGGGAAGAACTGAAAGATATAAAAAAATTTTTTTCTAGAGAGTTAAAATATGATTCAAGGCATTTGAGAATAATATGAGGAAACATGGATAAAGAGGAAGTGCTTTGTGCTGTCTTTGCATCTCTCTTATCCCAGAAGACATTCTTCTTAACATGCCTGGGAAAGGAGGGGAACACAGTCCAGAATTGAAAAGGGTATAATAAGAGTCCATCCTGCTACCTAAAAAAAATGCAAGTCTCCAAATTTGCAAGTCCTCTTCCAGCCCCATCCTATGATTGTTATGATCTAATCCTTTGCTTCACATCTTGGTTGGCTTCTTTGATTTATGTCTTTGCCTTTTTATTTGTAGTTTCAGGGTCATTTTCTGGTTTCTTCCTATACATCATTTTTCCCACTAGCCTGAGTGGAAAAAAAAGGATATTTTTATTTAAAGTTTTTTCTAGGTTTTCTTTTAATAATAAGGTGACAAGTAAATGTTTTTGTAGGTTATGCATCAATTAATTAACTGTATTCAAGAACTACAGGCCTAACAGGTATTATTTTCCATCAGCCGCATGATCGTATACATGATTCTTCAATAGGAAGAAACTTACCCTACTGATATTGTGCTGAAAATGACAGCTCATTTAGTACATTATTTCCTAACAAGTTCTTCCTGTTTCTGGAGCTGTATGCTTGAGAATGAAGAGGCAAGGAAAACTAGGGAATCTGTCCTGGCTAAGTCAGTTCCTAATGTCAGTCATGCTATAGATTTGGCCTTTGCCATTATAAATTTCAGATATTTGCTCTGCAAATGCTGGTGCATCCTTTTTAAAAATGTTATATTAGGTGTTGGCAGAAGTGACTGTAAGTGCTGAGGCTTCAGCTAAAGTGAAGAATGAAGTTCAAGGGGTGAAAGACAAAGCCCAGAAGATTGTGGATGAAATTGACACAGAGAAAGTGGTAGCGGAGGCAAAGCTGGAGGCAGCCAGACCAGCCTTAGAAGAAGCTGAAGCAGCTTTGAATGTGAGTGGTATTTAACATTGCAAATGAAATGAGCAATATAAAAAATGCAGAATATAAGCAGCTTGCATAATTATTCTGTAAATTTATGGTGCGAAACTAGAGAGTGTTTTCTTAATTCGAAATAGTTCCCATGTAAGCATAAGTAACCTGCTGTTTCCAAATTGTATTACCTTTTTGTCTCCTACTTGTATATATGAGAGGTACTATTTACCTCTCATATATATTTACATCTTGACTATAACAGTTTTCATGGTTGGTAAAATTAGCATCTCCCTATTTCAAATTTTGGCAGCTGAAATAGGAGTTAAATGTAGAGGAGTAAGGCTTTTTAATAATTTTATAAAATATTAGTCAATAAATTAACTTTTTTCCCTAGACCATCAAACCTGCAGACATTTCAACGGTTCGAAAACTTGCCAAGCCACCTCATCTGATTATGAGGATCATGGATTGTTGTCTATTGCTATTCCAAAAGAAAATTGACCCAGTTACCATGGATCCAGAAAGGCCTTGTCTAAAACCATCCTGGAGTGAATCATTGAAAGTAAGCAATATTTCCAAGCACTTTTAATTTTTTTTAAAAAAAATCTATGGTTGAAATCTCAAAGCATCAAAGAATCATAGAATCATAGGGCTGGAAGGGACTTTGAAGGTCTTCTAGTCCAACCCTCTTACAAAGGCAGGAGTTCTTATACTATCTCAGACAAAAGATTGTCCAATATTTTCTTGAAAACCTCTAGTGTATAACAAAGCCACAGCATAGTTTGTAGAAGGGGGAGTCCTCAGTTTTCACAATTTGCTTTCTTCAGCCAAAAACATAATATACTATTCTAAAAAGTTCTGTTCCTCAGAAATGGTTTGTTTTTAAGTATAATGTCTACAGCAAAAAAACATTTAATGAGAAGAATTTCCCTTCCTTTCCTTTTCCCTTGATCCATTTGATCCATGTCTTCCATATACAATATTTGTTTTTGGATTTGATCCTCATTTATTCTGAAGTGACCAAACCACATCAGCATACTTTTTTGTACTGACCTTTTACTTTTGTATTCAATCCAGATTCATTGCCCTCTATCCTCCATGACCTTCTCTTTCCTTAAGTAATAATTGCACAATATCACAAGCACCAACAAAGGTTAGTTTTACCCCAAGCATGCACATGCTAATGTACATACACACACACATACTATGCCAGTGTGATTTGAATTAAGTAATTTTAAGATTTTTTTTTCTTCTGTAGTAATGGAACTAACAATGGTGTTAATGTTTTGAGATTTGTTTAAAGAGAGAAGAATTTTTTTTTTAGAGAGGAGATGGGCTCTGGAAATGTGGTAAAGGAAGACATTTGTAGGCAATGATGCTTTACTGTATGTTTTCCCCATTTTTTACAGCTAATGAGTGGACCATTTCTCCAAAGTCTCCAACAGTTTGCCAAGGATACTATCAATGAAGAGATGGTTGAATTATTGCAGCCTTATTTTCAAATGGAGGATTATACTTTTGAGAATGGCAAAAAAGTCTGTGGTAATGTGGCAGGGCTACTTTCTTGGACCCTGGCCATGGCAACATTTTACGGTATAAACAGAGATGTATTGCCTCTTAAGGTAAAACAACATGACATTAATTCATTTCTAGTTAATGAGAAGAAAACTATTGCAGACTCTTATTATCATTTATGTCTACAGAGAATAACTAGAGAATCAAGTGTCCCATCTACTTTTAGTGTCAGAGACTTTGTAACAAATAATTTAATTACCCTTGAAAATTGATGTATTTAGTTAAATATAGGGACAAATTAAAATAAGTTCTTCAATTGCACACTGTGTTATAAACAGTGCTAATTTGTTAAAATGCAAAACCACTAAAATACACCATTTTGAAAAAGACATAGCAGTAACTTCGGCTCTGTGATATTATTGATGATGGCTTCCTTCCTTCCCTCCCTCCCTCCCTCTGACTATCTAGTAGCCTGGGTTGCTTACTACAGTTAAAACAAACAATATAAAACCCTCCTTAATTAAACAGAGAAACAGCAAGCTCAGTGGTGGATTCATACAATATCCTGGCATAAAGAGTCAGGACCTGACAGCAGTGTTGGGGCCATGCACACTCCAGAAAGATTTTTGTTCCAGACAGCAGAAGCAATGATGGAGAAAGCATGTCTTCTGAATCCTATAGGATGACATTGTCTAAATTGGCAGGACTCAAGCATGCTGATCTTTCTGGATTTTCTTGAGCAACAGACAATTAGAAACAGGTAGCTGCAGAAATATCTAGACCATGTGCTATGCAGTGTTTTATAGGTGACAACCAGCACTTGGATACAAAGTGATTTGGACCTGCATATGCCACTCTGAAGGGATATTCTAGACTGTAAGACTAGCAAATATAGCTAGTTGCCCAGTCATGGATCTCTTGTTTTAACATCAAATTGTCACCTTGGTTTTTCTTTACATAGAAGATAAGAATCAAAGCAGCATTTTCTGGGATTGAACAGTTATTTGGATAGTAACTACCTACTAAATTACTTGCATCCCATCCCCCACTTTATAGAAAAAGGAAAAACATATATACAATGATTGATTGATTGATTGGCTGATTATGTGCCATCAAGTCATTTTTTAACTTCTAGCTATCACAAAGATAGATTTTCTCCATGACAACCTATCCCTAATCTGGTCTGTCATGTCTTCCAATGTTGCATCCATCATTACTGTCACTGAGTCCATCCACCTTGCTGCTGGTCATTCTCTTCATCTCTTTTCTTCCACCTTTCCCAGTGTTAAAGTCTTTCCCAAATGGCTAGATCTTTATGTGTTGAAAAGAAGATAATTTGAGCCATTTGTGTCTTCAGTGAGAAATGATTTTTTTTCCTTGGCTGTCCATGGTATTCTCAGGAGTCTTCTCCAACAGGAGCTCAAATAGGTCTTGCTTCTTCCAAGACCAACTAACTTTAAACATAAAAATATTTTTTTAGTAAATATATTGCTTCATTTTTTTAATTTTTAGACTAACTTAGCAAAACAAGAAGGACGTTTGAAAATAGCCAATGCAGAATTAGGGAAGGCACAATCATTGCTAGATGAGAAGCAAGCAGAGCTGGACAAAGTACAAGCCAAATTTGATGCAGCTATGCAGGAGAAGATGGTAAACAAAATAAAATTTTGAATTACACATTTCATATATTTTGCTATTACTTACTGCATGCACTTTTCATTCTAGGTTAGGGAAAATGCTTGCTCAGCAGGACAATTTTGGATGCTCTTTGCTTAACTAGTCATTGCCCCTGCTTCCTCAATTTTGAGGCAGAGAAGGGAATCAGGCAGTAGACATTGGCACTGCCTACTTTTGCCTCTCCATATCCATAATATCAAGCTTCTGAGATTAGTATGATACTGAAATATCATTGCAGCTCTGGTTAGCAGTTTAAGCAGGAATCTTTAGGGGAGGCTATTTATCATCTGCCTATTGATCTTGGTGCCTTCAGATCTTTGCCCCATCTGATTTAAATTCTCTTTTAAATTCTTTTAATCAGAGGTTGGCATGTTGCAAAGGGGAAGAGATAGAGATTAGAAGGTTGTCAAATAAAGAAAATTTTGAGTTTTATCTTGACTCCCAAGATTGTTTCTAGGCCTCATGTAATTCTCATAGGCATTTTGGAAAGTAAAAATGGCAGGTGTCTGTAGATCAGTATTTTATTTCTGCCTGGGCGATGGGGAAAGAAACTAAACAATAATTGTAGTATCCATATCCATAGAAGCTCAAAGAATTAGCAAAGAATACTTACAGTAATTTACCTTTTAGTTAGTGAATATTTTGTGATTAGCTCCTTTTGGCAGCCAAGAGATCTTGGGAGAAGGTAGTGTGTAGATAAACTAAATTAAATTCTGTGAATAAGCAAGTATTTGGATTCCTTGATTAGTGAAATTTCAAAATTAACTAAAGTTCCTAAGCTATGCATGCTCTGAATTAAAAGTAAAAAGGTGGCAGGTTTTTTTTTTTCTTCATATACAAATTTACAACTAGAACCTGTGCAAAATATGTTGGGGTTGACATATTTATTTTCAAGTTGCATGCTTTAAAAAGATGCTTGTTTTTAAAGATGTTCTTTAAAAAGAACTAGCATAGTTCTCGGGATGAACACTTGAAAAGTGTAATATGACATATTTTCAAATGTCAGGACCTCTTGAATGATGCTGAAATGTGCAGGAGAAAGATGCAGGCTGCCTCTGCCCTTATTGATGGCTTGAGTGGAGAGAAAATCCGTTGGACTCAACAAAGTAAAGAGTTCCGAGCCCAGATCAATAGGTATAGTATATGATCAGTGCAATAATAGTATTAATTTTAAAATAATATAAAACAGTCAAAGGAAAATAAAAAGGAATGTCTCTCTTCAATCCATAAAGTATAACTGTCCTTTTTATTATTTTATTACATTGTTTATCTTTTAAAATGATTAGAAATAGGTAACTTTCAGATAACTGCTTGATGGATAACAATTAAATTTTGAGTGTGATTTGCTTCCTTCTTATGATAGAGACCAAGATAGGTGAATCAGAACTAAGACCTGTCAATCTGACTCCATTCTTCTGATTTGTTTACATCTCCTCCTAGTTTAAATTAGAGCTACTAAATGGCTAGGCTTATGCCAGAAATGGTGTTGCTGCTTCACTGTCCTGTGTCCCATTTAATCAGCTCACTGATGCAAGTGGTTAGTGCAAGTAGGAGCCCTGTTCATTTCACCAGTCAATCATGCACATTTTGAAAAAACTATAAACTTTCCAGCTTGAACCTGAGGAGTAAAATGGGTATAAAACTGATTAAAGTGTCTTTTTTGAATGAGCTTTTTAAAATGTCTTTGTCACATTCCTTTTTTAAAAGGTTAAAAAAATGTATCTTAATGAAAGATTCTATGATTTTTCCTAGGCTTGTGGGAGATGTGTTACTTTGCACAGGTTTCCTTTCCTATTGTGGCCCTTTTAATCAGATATTCAGGAACCTCTTGCTTAAAGATTTATGGGAGACAGAGATGAGATTACGAAAAATCCCTTTTACTGAAAATCTGAATATTATTTCCATGCTGGTAGATCCTCCTACGGTAAGTCTTTAATTCTGTTAGCTTTTTGATAGCTTAGATTTTTAATCCTATTTCACTAAGTGGTTGAATAAATCTATTAACACATGTTAGTGGCTTGATAAATTCCTTCTCAGTAATTCTGTCTCAGTGTATTTTGTCACCTAGCCATCTTCGCCTGGGTGTTAAGTCTCAGCAGAGTAACTTCTTGGGTAGAAATATTCCAGGGTACTATCAAGTTCTAAACTAGAGTGTGAAGTTGAAGAATTGCACATACATGGAAAAATATTAGAAAAATAGCAACAGAATCTTCACTGCACCCTCAAAAATTGTATTTCAGATCCTGAGTTAGGGTGAGGATGGAGTGAGAGTACTATTATATTACAAAGGAGATAGTATTACAATGAAAGAAATTCAAACCTGTGTGGTTGAAAAACCTAATACACTTTCCTAGTCAGCTGTAAGGATGCTGTAGGCGTTTGCCCTTTGGAAAGCCAGACATTTTTATGGGGAAAATATAGTACTTATCAGGAAATAGAGAGGGGTTAATATGTGGTACTGAGTACATAAACCACTCTTCTCCATGTCACTTCCATGTTGAGACTGCAATCTCTACAATGGGCTAGCATTAATTGCCATTTCACAATTACAGTAAATGATGGTGGCAGTAGAGTGTCCTGGGAAACCAGGATTCCAGAACGGAAGCATTTAGAACTTATTGCTCTTGTTGTTTGATTCAGTTTTCTTTTCTTATTCATCTTATGTCTTCTTCTACACATGTCTAGATTAGTGAGTGGAATCTGCAAGGGCTTCCAGGAGATGAACTCTCAGTTCAAAATGGCATCATTGTTACAAAAGCAACCAGATACCCACTTTTGATAGATCCACAAACTCAAGGGAAAACATGGATTAAGCAGAAAGAAAAGGACAATGATTTACAAGTAAGTATTACAAAATTTTAATATTCCGTTCATATTCCTGTTTCTCTTCCATTCCCCCATCTCAGAAAACTAAGCTACACAATGATTACATATGAAGAGGAGAGTTACTGCATTGCAGGGGCCAGAGCAGATCAATAGCTCACCATCACACTCAGTGTTCATTGGGTAAGGAGGATCCAAACTTTCTCTCTTAACCAGGTCACTGGAAGAGATACCCCTAGGCATGCCACTTTGGTACCCAGAAAAAAGGACAATTATCAATGCATTAAATCAGTAGTATACTGTAAATGTGTCACACTGTAATCTGATACAGTGATGGTACTTCTTCCCTCACATTTGTGATTGTTTATTAAATTTAAACTGTCCTCATTTGATTTTTGAGGTAGTAACTCTTTCTATTTGTTTGGTATCTTCCAGAAAGGATCTTTTCTTCATATAATAAAAGCAAGATAATTCTATTTAGACTTTTCCAATGCAAAGACTTACCATTGTCACAGAACTTTCCCAGCTATTTTGTCATGACTTTAGAAGGCACTGGGATAAGGTCACTGACTTAGAAAATAGGACCATTGAAAACTTATTTAAGTTCTGGTTCAAGTTTCTCAGACAGAAGTAGATATCTCTAAATCCCAGTTCCAGGGATTCAAAATGGAAAAATAGTGACTTACCTCCAAGAATTGTCATAAAGTAAAATATAAAAAGAAATTTAGAGAATTAGGCAATCCCATATAAGTCCTCACAGAACTAATATGAGTTCACTGAGATTTATGTCAAATTAAGCAGGCATAGGTTTACAAGCACTTTAAGAGTATTCTAAAAATAAGTGAAAATAAGCACTTTGATAAACTATATTGCCTTTATTTATAACAAACCATTTTTACTCCTAAGGTGACAACTTTGAATCATAAATATTTCCGTTCGCACTTAGAGGATGCCCTCTCTCTGGGAAGGCCACTTTTAATAGAGGATATCAGGGAAGAATTAGATCCTGCCCTTGATAATATATTAGAAAAGAACTTCATTAAATCAGGAAGCTCTTTCAAGGTGAGCTATATTATTCCGTACATTCTGTTGTTGTTTTTTTGTTTAAATATATGACAAATGTTCTTGGACAAACCACTTAAAGAAATTATATAATCAAACAATGAACCTTCCCCTTCAGTCTATGACCAGTTTCTTCAACCTCCAAAGAACAGAGAGATCAGAACTCTCCTTGACAAGAGATTGTTTCTTTCTGAACCTCCAGGGAAAAAAGTTCTTATTTTTCCTCCCATTCCCTTTCCAGTGCTTCATTGGAAGCCTTTCCCTCCACTTATCTGTTACAAGGACAGAAATGTTTTACTAGGTAATGGTAGTGGCATTTCAGAGATTGTTTTTAGAAATTACTATGCTTTTGTGAAGCAAACTTGATTCTGCTTGACATATCAGTTTATTCTGCAGCTTGCCTCACTGAGGTAGAGAAGTGGCATGATTTCCCTGAACAAAGCACTTAGCATCCCACTCTGGAGTTGCTATAGCTGGAAGGTTTCTTTCCATGCTCAGAAATCTGTGTTTGGCCAATACTGGAGGAAGCAAAGCATAGCAATGAAGCTACTCCACTTCGCTTTGCTTCGCTTCGCTTCACTGCTAAAATGGGTTTACTGTCGGTTTAATGAGATGTTTTAATGCACGGGTGTCAAACTGCCGGCCGGTTTCATCATACCGAAGCCACGCCCACCCCATTGCCGGTAATGCAAAAAGAGTTGCGATACGTCGCGACACATCACGTGACGTGGCAAGTTTGACACCCGTGCTTTAATGAGATCCAAGGTTTTTGTCCAAGTGAAGCCCTCCCTTTAATGATCTGAAGCAACCATTATGTATCTAAAGGGTGTTGATTCTGGTCCATCCTGTGATAAAAAGCAAGAATGTAGCTTTGATTTAGGATATCTGCTACTGGTGCCATTTACCCAGAATAACATTCCACATGACCACCAATTTTGCTAGGACAGTTGATAGGTATCAAATTGCGCCTGTCAGCAAGATGCCTCTTTATGAAAATCATTGCACTTTGAGCCTTATACTTTACATTTCTATGGAAAATAGTGGGCAAATTTACTATCAAATTCTGGCAATGGGGAGGAGAAGGGAATGTTTTCAACCTTAAAATAAGGAGTTCAGAAACTGTATATAATCCACCGATCCAAAGCTTCCCACCCCTAAAATAAGTCAGTGGCAAAAGCACAATGCATTCCCTTCTCTCTCTTTTTTTAATGGTATATTAAAGCCATAAATTACTAATTGATTTTGTACCATATAACTGACTACATTAACTACAATATAATAAGAAATCTGAAATAATTATATATAAATATCTATATCTAAATCTATATATCTATAAATCTATAGATATATAAAATATACTAAAGCAAGTATATTGGTTAGTATATTTACATAAATTTTCTTGATTTTTGCCCATGTTGCAATACTTCCTCTTCAATTAAATATTGGGATGGATGGGAGGCTCAAATAATTGAACAGTGATTTAATCGGAAATAAAATGAGAACAAATATATATATTATTAGAAAATATTTAAAATATTTGTCAGTTATTAACTGTATTATTAACAATGCATTGAAACAAGATTTGAACTTTTATTAAGGTGAAAGTTGGGGATAAAGAAATAGATGTCATGAGTACATTTAAACTTTATATTACTACAAAATTGCCCAATCCTGCCTTCACTCCTGAGATTAATGCTAAATCATCAGTAATTGATTTTACTGTTACAATGAAAGGACTTGAAAATCAGTTATTGAAGAGAGTAATTCTAACAGAGAAACAGGTAAGATAATCAGTACAATGAGTTGTTATACATAATGAAAAAATGATGTTTCACTGAAGCTTAAATATTGATTTCAAAATTGTAGACTGCATTTCATTAGCAAAGTGAATTTAAGATGACAGATGGACTGATGACGGATGGATATCAAAGAACAAAGAAAATTGGCAAAGGTTGACATATCAGAAACAGAAAAGATTTAGGCACAGAGGGGTTAGAACAGTATTTTCCTTACTCTCCCTCTGCAAAATTGAATTATATTATTAAGTTAAAGTAATTACAAAGACCTACTCTCCAATGGGCTCAATGGAAGGCATCTCATCAAGTGTCAAGAGCTCTTTGGAACAAACTTATTTCATAAGGACCTTTGAAGGCATTCTCAGGAGTGAGTATTTTTAAGCACTCTCTCCTAGGGAAAGGTGTAGAACAGCTAAGGAAAAGCCTAACTGGCAATTACTCAAATGAACATATTGCAAGTAAAAGTCATCATTGCTAAGATGATAGGAAGATTTGGAAGGGAAAAAAAGATTTTGTTTGAAACCTGGTGGGCTGTCTTAGAGAGCTGGCTTAATCCCAGAAATTGAATGTGTTCAAAATCTGTGTGATATCTACAGCAGGAATAAAAGTATTCCTAGCCCAAACAAAGCTTCAGTGATGGAAGAGCACACTTCTTGCTCAGTTATTATTATCTTGTTTTTATTAGAAGACCAGTGGATGGATAATACTGCATTCTAAATGTTTATTCTTTAAAAAGAATGTAAACATTTTTAATATGATAATGTTTAATACTTCTATTATGTTATTTTTGGAGCCTATTAATTCATTTTTGGTTTGCTATTTTTATTTTTTTCTGTGCCTTCAAATAGTATTATTATTATTTGCATTAGATTTTACCTGTTATGCTTAGTCAAAGGCATCAGACTGTGACTCTAAACTGGGGAAATATTTATTTTGAAGGGCTTGCATGTGTATTCACATAATATAAAGGAAATATATAAAATATGTAAACATAAAATAATTGTAAATAAGGATTATGTTTTTGTGTATCATCTGGACAAAGCTACGTGTTCAGCAACAAGTGCATTATATTTTTATTTTTATTTTTAAATGTAGTTATTAAATTCATATGCCACATTTCACTATCAAGCAACAACATGAATTCTGTTGTGGTTTTTGATATTGCACAATGCAGCAATGAAAGAAACAGGGTAGATGAAAGCATTTGCATAAGAAAAACAGCAGTAGAAAGAAAATTAACCCTTGCCCTCCATTTTTGCATTTGTAGTTCATTCAAAACTATTTTCCTAAGGACGTCCTATTTTCAGATTAGATTGGAAAAGTTGCTTAAGGAAAGAACTGTATAGGAAGAGTGAAGCGCACCCATTTTCCACTTCTGCAATACACAATTTGTAAAACATAAAGTATCTGAATGGTTTTCTCCTTTGTGGACTAGGATGTAGAGGAGGGTCTCCAAGTATAAGTGGGTTTAAAAATTGTATGCATAATTATTTAGTTTTTAAAATAGTGAACATTATTGCAGCAATTCCTTAGAAAGTTAAACATGGAAAAAGTGAAACTTGAAGATAGATTATGTTGAAGGCAGCTACAGTTTCATACGAATGTAGGAAAAGAAGATGACCATGGATTTCTATAGAAATAAGTTCGTGAGATCTGTCAAAACCATTTATACCATGGCACATTTAACTGCTGATTCCTTGTATCTAATGTTCCTATGATTAAAAAGATTACCAAAATCCAATATGTCCTGAAACATACAAAAATACTTTCCTAAGAAGACAAGCAATAAATCAGTTTTTAAACCTTCATCCTTATCTTTTTTAATGCAAAACTGAAGAAGTAAACAAGTCTGTGTTGTGATATTTAATATAGGAACTAGAAGCCGAAAGAATTAAACTCATGGAGGATGTAACTTATAATAAGCGGAAAATGAAAGAACTAGAAGATAATCTCCTTTATAAATTAACTACAACTAAAGGTATTATTGTATTTATGTTTATCTCACTGTTACATAAATAATGTAGACAAATTTTCCAGTGCATCATAATAAAAGATACAGCTCTAATTTAGAAACTTATTGGACTATTAATTTGAATCTAGAATGTCCCTCAGAAATGTTCTACTATATTTGAAAATAATAGATTTTAAGGCAAGGAACCTTTGGTTCCCTGCAGATAAAACAGTGGGTGTAGTTTCTCCTGCTGTTAACAAGCCACCCTAGAACAATACCAAATAAATAGATTCAGTTGTCTTAAATCAGCAATTGGGATGATATGATACCACAATTAATTGTTCTAGCACCCCATCTAACTGGCAATAGCTGTCTAAACTATCATGAATTAATTTGATCATAATTATACTGAGACATTAAGGCAAACTGAGCAATGGATCCTTATTAGGGCTGAAGAATTGTTATCCTTCATTGTCTTCTAAAATCCATTGCTCTAAAATTTATAATTATCTATAAAGTAGAGCCATCTTTTATGTACGTAGATTTTAAGGTACTTTATTATTCATTTCATTTATTATTACTTTGAATTACATAGCTGCCCATCTCAAATGCATGATTCTGAGCATCTGACAGAAGGCTTATGACCAGTGGTGGGATTCAGCCAGTTCGCACCAGTTTGGCAGAACCGGTAGCTAATTTTTTGTTGCCCAGGCCCAGAATGGACTTCCACACAGAGAACTGGTTGCTCACATATTAGAATCCCACCACTGCTTATGACTCTGGGTTGTCAGTCCCTCTGTTTTCTATTAGCCTTTTTCATGGTCCCCCTGAAAGTGAAAAATCTATTCCAAATATTGTAAAACTTTATTTTACTTTGGTACTCTTTAGGTTCTTTGGTGGATGATGAATCACTGATCGGTGTTTTGAGAACCACTAAACAAACAGCTACAGAGGTATCTGAAAAACTAGAAGTTGCAGGAGAAACTGAGAAAAAAATTAACACTGCACAAGAGGAATACCGTCCTGCTGCTACACGAGGGAGCATTCTTTATTTTCTGATCACTGAAATGAGCATGGTTAATACAATGTATCAGACTTCCCTTGCCCAGTTTTTAAAACTGTTTGATCAATCCATGGCTAGGTAGGAACACAATATTATTATATGCAGTGATGTTTTTCTGCATATGCTCCAGTATTTGTTGTGACTTAGTCAATTTGCTTGCTTTGTTTTGGCACCTTAGATCTGACAAGACTCCTATTCCACAGAAAAGGATCACAAATATTATTGAGTACTTGACATATGAAACTTTCACCTATTCTGTTAGAGGCCTCTATGAAAATCACAAGTTTCTTTTCACCTTGCTTTTGACATTAAAAATCGATCTTCAGAGGAGCCAGGTCAAACCAAAGGAATTCCAGGCACTCATTAAAGGTAACACCTAAAGCCACAGGATTGAATAAACAAAGCTTTGTAGTAATCATAGCCAAAAAAACTATTCATAAAAGTATATGTGTTCATCATAGAAAAATGCAAACTTTGTATAATATATCACCATAGATACAAAGAGTACGAACTTAGTTTCATTCATTCATTCATCCATTCATTCATATGCAGTAATTATAATGCTATGAAACAAGAAAATTACACATTTTTCTCACAGAATGAGTATTGAAGTAGAAAAACCAGAAATACCACTCAGGTTATTGTGAATACATGTGAACACAGCAATGATTTTTGGAACAGATTGGACAATCTTATCAAAGTGAATCAAGGTTAAAATTAGATGACATGAATGCTGGATGAGAAGCAGACATGCGCACACAGTCACAAGAAGTGATTTAGCAATTTGGAAACCTGAGAATGAAAGAGAATGGTAATTGTTTGTTGAGTGTTTCCTTCAAAGAGTCAGTTTGTATCATGGAATATTGGAAATACCCTAAGAATACAGAGATAAGAGCTATATTGTTACAGGAGGAAACAGGGCTGTTACAGAAAAGGTCCTTGTGTCAAGGGGGGAGAGCAGGTGTGACAAGGAGATTCAGATTAACTCCTCCCTTAAATATGCCAGGTATAAATTAAGCTAAAGAATAGCCTTGTCAGACTTTCAGTATTCTATTATTCTGCCCTACTAGTTATAAAGATCTTTCCAGATTCCCAAATGGTTCTGGTTTCCTAAGTTTGCCAGCCAAATTCTTCTCAAATGCATAGTTTAATCATACATCAGTTCAAATGGCTTATGGATAATGAATAAATTAACCACGTGATTTCTTTCTTTCTTATGAAATATAGGGAAAATTGATGAAGGATACAAGGGTGATGTGAAGTTCTGAATATGGGAGGGACCACAAAAGTGGATGTTCAGGAAAAAGTGGACATAAGGAAAAAAAGAATGTAAATTAGAACAAAAGGAGAATGAATGAAAAAGGAGAAAATATAGGTTTAGCATGAAAATGTATTGAGGAAAAAAACACTCTCCCAAAAGAATAATGGAAACGTGCTAAGAAAACAAGATGTGGAAACTGCATGAAACAGAATGGGAAAGACATCTTACAGATTGCCCTAGAAGAGTTTGGATTTATTCTAGTGGAAATTATTAAAAAGGACACTTAGTAGATTTATAACAAGATTATTGATAAGTATAAATTTGTGCAAGAGAATGGTTGCTGCAAAAAATTATGAGAGAAAGATATTGTATGTCTGTATAACAAAAATAGAATTACAAAGTGTTTACTCAAAAGAACAAGATTAAAAGAGGCAGAGAAAATGCAAAGTGACTCGATGAATGTAAAAATTGTTTCGAAAATGGGTGAACAGAGCTTAAAGAGCCTCCCTCAAAGTGAGTGGAATTAAAAATTAAAGTGATTAAATGAATGGAATGAAATTCCAATAAAGAAGAGAGAGAATGCCGAAAGGAGTATTTGAGAGTTTTATGGGAATGATGATGAGATACCAAAGAATGGAATTGGCATGACTGCTATGAATGTTTAATATGCAATGTTGTGAGAATGGTAGTCTGCAGTTTTAGATAGTGTAAATAGAGAAATACTAAATAAGGGCACAGTTTGCCTAAGGAGTAGCTGTGCACCTTATTTAACTTGTATGAGAAGTTTGCACAGTTTGAAGAATGCTGTAATTGTCCCTGTAGACAAAAAGAAAGGTAACAAGGAAGGCTGATGGATTGGTTTCTCAGCTGTACCTGGGAAGGTATTTGATAATATTTTGATTGACAGGTTACAAGAGATGACAATGAGCAACATCTGTAGGATGGCTTTATGCCTGGCAGGGACTGCACAGAGCAAGGTTTTGCTCTTCATCAAATCATTGAAAAACATGAGAAACGTTGTTGATTTAGAGAAAACGTCTGATCAATGAATTATAATGTGTTTTACATGAATATAGATTTGAAAGTTTAAATGCTGAATTTGATAAGTATATGATGCTAAAGAGTAAAAAATGTGTGGGGGATATGGAATGCTTGCAAATGATACAGCATGGATAAAACAAAGATGGGCAATGTCTTGTTGGTTGCATGCTGGTATAAATAAATATATTAAAATACTTGTGGCATTAAAGATGTGTTGGCTGGCAATGTGAAAGTATATGTACCTATGTGTACAGGTAATAATGTCTGATTACTTGAGAATTTATTTTGCAGCAATGATTAGACTACAAAAAAGAATGGATCTGAAAATTGATATATCAAGAAAACAAAGCTAGTTGTACTGAGAGTAAATAGGAGTGATGATTTAATACATAAATAGTGAAAAACGTTAAACAAGTATTTGAATCTTGATTATTCAAGGTGGAGAAATATTAAGATGTGTAAATGCTGATAAAAGCTAATGAGTAGTATGCTGTCCATTGTGAGGAATTAATATTAAGGGGGGAAATGGTATTGTATAAGAGCCTGATTCTGTCTATTGTATTATATGGAAGTGTGAATTGGGGATGTCAGTAGAAACATCAAAGTAGAATGGGGTATTTCAGAACTGTGTGTAAGAAAACAGGAGAAAATAAGACCAAGACTCAACAGCTGCTGAGTGAGTATGTATTGAATCTGAAAGTGAGCGAGCAGGAACAAAATATATGGAGATGGTTTAATAAAATAACAACAATGAATGGGGATCAACTTGCAAAATATACAGTATGAAGAATAAATAGGTCAAGAGGAAGGAAAAGACCAAAAAAGGTTGTGATTCATTGGAGCTGATGAGTACTTTGGAAAGAGAGAGGTTAAAAAGTTTACAAGAGTGGTTTGGATATAGTGGAAGCAAAGTTTTTTTTTTTTACAGAAATGGGAAATGTGAAGACATATAGCAAATAGTCTTGCTTCAGATGTTGCATTACCAAACTAGGTAACTTCACCAGCACTTGCAGAAACGTCTGCAAGAAAACCTCCAAACTTAAACCGTACCATTTAGCCCTGAACTATAAATATTTTCTTCTACAAGTCTTGTTTTAAACTGGATTTTGCTAAATTGCTTTTCCTTTACTAATCTTTATTTTCCTTACTATTTTTTTTAGCATTTTTCTATGGTTCATATAACATTAAATATTCTCAGAGAAAATAATCTGCTGGGTATGTACACAGTACATTCCTAGATAGTAGTGTTTAAGTATCACCCATCACACGGGAGACCAGGGTTCAGTTCCCCAATGAGGAGGCTGACATTATGAGAGCCACTTTGGTCTGGTGGTTAAGGTCCTAGACTAAAAATTGAGAGACTGTGGTTTAAGTTCCACCTTAAGCCATGAAAGCCAGCTGGGTGATTTTGAGTATTATGGAACTAGAACTATTTCTTGCTATGCTTTTGCCTTTCAATGAGAAGTTGATCCAGGAAAAAAAAATCACATCTCAACCTGCTCCAAACTTCTCATTTTGCAAGATACTCACAGCAATAATTTCTTCTCTCTCTGACAGGGTTGTTTTTGTGCGGAAAATAGGAGAAGGAAGGTGTGTTGGATATGTTTGCTGCCTTGAGTTATTTGTAAAAATAATAAAGTCAGGATACAAACAAACAAAATAAAATTAATAATAATCTTACTTTCACTTTCTAATTGAAGTAGGACAATTAGACACATCCCATGCTAGAACCAATGTGAATTGGAGATCAATGCAAGTTGATCATGAACCTCTTTATTTAGCACTCAGTCCTGCTAAGTTCGACAGGAGTTCAACTAGCTAAGATGTTTGCTTAGAATTTCACTGCTCTGTGCAGTCCTAAACATTTTTATTCAGAAGTCCACCCCATCAGGCATAGTGGGCTAGCTGCTGGTGAATGTTCTTTAGATTGCAACATTACTCTCTGTCTCAAATAGAGATAATCTGAAAAAAAACTATGCATGGAACAATGTGATACTTGGGATAAAAATTGCTGATTTTTGTTATTGTTCAGACCTGTAATACGCATAACATATATGTATTTCATAATAATATGAAATCTTAAGGCTTGATATAGTTATTTGTTAATGTATAGGGGCCATTTTCAATAACTATTAATGTTTTTCATCCAGGGGGTGCTGCGCTGGATCTAAAAGCTTGTCCTCCCAAACCGTTCCGCTGGATTCTAGATATGACATGGCTCAATCTAGTAGAACTGAGCAAACTACCACAGTTTTCAGAAATTATGAATCAGGTATGATTATAGCCTTAATTATTTTTTACTTCTTTTAGCATTAGCAAATAATCCTATTGTCTTTTATGACCACTTGTGACATGGCCATTCATGCCAGGGCATTATATTGTTCTGCATTTTAAGTGCGGATATTTTTTCCATGCCTTAACAGGTGGATGCAGAAATCACGATAAATGCTATCATATTTTCAAATGTGATATGAACTAATCTTTCCTGAATTCAAAGACTTCAATGAAGTGGAGACTTCTTGTCCATTCTTTAAAGGAAAAATAAGATTAACGGTTACCTCTGGTCCTTCATTAGATATCCCGTAATGAGAAAGGATGGAAAAATTGGTTTGATAAAGATGCTCCCGAGGAAGAAACTATTCCGGATGGATATAGTGATTCACTAGATACCTGTCGCAAATTATTGCTTATCAGGTAAATATCACAACTAATTTTGCATTACTTTTTTATATGTTCTTAGTTCTTTTCAGGAAGTGATGTATATTGGCACTGGAAGATACACATTTTCTAAAAAGTTATGTTTAAAGCATTGAAATAATTATGAATAGATGATATAACACTAACTTAGGAATATTTTTTTTGTAGGTCTTGGTGCCCAGATCGCACACTTTCTCAGGCCCGAAAGTATATCGGAGATTCCTTGAGTGAGAAGTATACAGAACCTGTCATCTTAAATTTAGAGAAAACATGGGAAGAAAGTGATAGAAGGACACCTCTCATTTGCTTCTTGTCTATGGGATCTGACCCAACAAACCAAATTGATGCATTGGCTAGAAAACTTAAACTGGGTATATGTTTATGTTACTTTTCAAAACAAGAATTTTAGAAAATTGCTACACTAAATCTGCCTTTGCAGTAACTTTTCAGGTGAATCTCTTAGGAATCCTACCTTTTGTAATAGTTTCTTCCACTAAATAAAGCCCAGCTCCTTAATATGGTGCCTCCAAACACTCAAGTCTCTGTGGGCAGCTCCCTCAAGGCCTGCAGGCTCTATATTCTACTTTATTTCATTTTCCACTCATTTTCATACTTTTAATTAAATAAGTAATGCAACAGAAAGCTATCATGCTTTAAAGGTAATGTGGGACTAGCACAAGCAAAGATAAAATAAATATTCAGTAATAATATAGAACAAAGCAATAACCCTACAACTGAGATAAATAAAAGATATCAGGTGTTCTTCAATAATGACTACATCAAATCTATAATTGAAAAAAAAGAATTAATAAAAATAACTCATCTTACTCTTTTCAAAATTGATTGCAATTGCAAAAACAGAAATATTTTAATTTATTAGCATTGTATTGTGTTATTTATTGTAGAAAACAGAGCTATATCTATGGGTCAGGGGCAAGAAGTTCATGCACGCAAACTAATTCAGATGTCAATGGTACAGGTAACATGCAATGTTTTTTTTAGTTGGGTTTTAATTTTTTCCCCCCAACAAAAATGTTTTGTATTTGAAAAAAGGCTACAGTCCTTTGCTTACTGATTGTAGAATAACTCTCATTCAACTAAATAGCTCAATAATTATGCCCAGATTTCAAAAATTAAAATTTATTACATTGGTAATTACCCCCCAAAATTATCATTACTCCCAATTGACAATAGCTGTCCTATTGTGATTGTTATAACTACCACAAGATGGCACTGCTACTTTATTTACATTTGGAATCTACTCCTTTCATCTGTATGCAAACCCATACTTGTTTTTGATAGTGTTAACAAACAAATATTGGAGGATAAAGTATGTATGGTATATGAAGGATAAATTTCCATTAGAAAAGTCTTCATATAGTGTTATTAATCAATAGCAATATGCTCAGACAAATAGTTTAATCAACTGTTTTGGGAACAGGGTGGCTGGGTGTTACTTCAGAATTGTCATCTAGGTCTAGAATTTATGGAAGAACTTTTGGAAACAATGATGACTGCTGATATTCCCGATGAGACCTTCAGAGTTTGGATAACCACTGAACCACATGATAGATTTCCAATCACTTTGCTGCAGGTTAGTTAAATCTAATGAAAATGGGAGTGTTTATTGATTTAAAAAATCAACTAAAATACTACCTTCTTTGGAACTGTAAAATCTAAACATTTAAGACATTTGAGCTAGTTTGCATTTAGACTGGTCCAAAAAGCAAATTGTTTTCTACTCCTTTATGGGGGATGTTATATGCCAACCAGATGTGTGATACATTCAACAGCAATTTACACTCAATAGCTCTGAAGTGTCTGGTGCTTTTGGCTACTCACTCAGTGCAGATCATTGCTGTTTTGAACTAGCAACAGAGTAGTTTGTGTATTCATGATAAGAGGTATTAGATAATTAAAGAGATGAACATGAATATAGGCAACATGGATTAAAGCATTCTGATCTGAATCAAAGCTGGGTGTCTAGCCGAAGTTGCTATTCATGGAAAGGGGAGAGGAGGTGATGATTACTGATTCCCCATTGTTCCTGTGGCCACCCATTTTCATACCAGTGCTGTGTGGCGGGATGTCATCCAACTCTCTAACAAGACTTGTGGGGAAAGGGGACTTCCATGATCAAGTGTTTCCTCTCAATCTATGAGTAAGGTCTATATACTCTTTTGAAAACAAAAGTGGCAGGTGGATTATCTTAACAATATTTGTGTGCTATAGCCCTGTACGACAATGCAGAAACATATAAAGTATATGTGCTTTTAATTTTGATCACATTTCCTTCATTCAAATGCTCAATAAACACAGTCACAGTAGCATTTGCAGTAAACTGCAAAAACAGCTAATATTACTTGAAACGCACACCATGATGTCATCATGCAAATGCTGCCATTACATACTATGCCCCAATGCCTGAGGCAGGTGTGTAAGTCACAGCATCTGTGTGATGCCTATCCCGAACATGTCCTCATTTGCTCTTTTTGTGTCCTTGCAGTTGCTATGGTAAACATTCTAACCACTACATTTTGTTGTATTTGTGGACTTGATGAAACAGCATCATTTTCTAAATGATGTGCCCTGACCTTCATTTTTCAAAACCGTGTGGCATGACTCCTTTGGAATCAGAAATAATAAACCCTTTTTTCGTGTTATGCCAGACTTCAATAAAATTCACCAATGAACCTCCACAAGGTGTACGAGCTGGTTTGAAGAGAACGTTTTCTGGGATAAATCAAGACTTGCTTGATGTCAGCAATATGCCTATGTGGAAACCTCTTCTTTATACCGTTGCCTTCTTGCACTCTACTGTCCAGGTATTACAGACAGAGAGCACATTTTGTGCCTAATAGAATCTTTCCATAATAAATCATCCTGGTAACTCATTGAGGCCTACAAGCTTTGTATGCCTCACACCACATGAAGGCCATATGTTGCAAACTCATCCTTCATTTCCAAAAGTCTGGTGACAGCTTAAAAATGTTATTATATCTAGCTGTATTGGTAGCCCTATTATTTCCCTGTTCCTCATTTATATTTTAACCAAGCACAACACTTAAATAATATTGTAATAGTAATACTATTATTTCTTATATCTTTTGTAGAAAAAATATAAATTAAAAAGACTAAAACCCTTTGTCTTATTGTATGAATAGAATTTGGGAAGATATGCCATGTTCACTTATCACAGTACACTGAATTTTGGATTATTTCCATTTGTATATACATATATTATGCTACATAAGCTTTTCACAGAAAGAAAATTTACGTCTATATAATAAATAGTTTGTTATATTAATGTGAATGTCAGTAATGGAATTTGCATTTTTTTAAAACAAAAGATTGTGCTGGTCATGAAAAAAATCAAAATCTATCAGAGCTATATACTGAGAAAGATTAATAATGATATTGCTCTAACATGGACATTGGATGTTGCTAAACAAATTATTATTAATGAAAAAGCAAAATATGTATACATTCATAAAACTAAATAAATTCCTACTTGTTATATATTTTCTATACTAAGGAAAGGCGAAAATTTGGTCCTTTGGGCTGGAATATTCCCTATGAATTCAATTCTGCTGACTTCACAGCCAGTGTTCAATTTATACAGAATCATTTGGATGAATGTGACATTAAGAAAGTAAGTATCTGCAAATTTGTACTTAGAGGTGCTGCCAAATAGTTATGTATCTTAAATGGGATAAAAATTTCACAGGCTTCTGAGGCTCACTAGAGATGTAACTTTGTTACTGATATAGATGAAAATTCAGACAGAAGAGTCATTTTGGGTTTACACTTCACTTCTCAGCTCCCTGTGTCTCAAACGACTACTTTATGTGACAAGAATTGTGGAAAAGTTTTTGCAGAAAAAAAATAAATCTCCTGGCAGTATCAGGAGCTGGGATCAGGGAGGAGTGTGTGGAATGGAGTTTAATTAAGAGTTGGCAGAACTGGCTTAGCTAATTTCTTAGCAGATCCAATGCAATGCAAGTCAAAAGCCACTCTTCCATTTCTATCACTACTGATCTTCTGCTACCTTACATTGTATTGTAAAAATATCTTAATTTGAACATTTCGTAAGCAGAACCACAGTCCTTCAGTATGAGCAAAATTCTTACATGTCAAAATTGCTTGTGTATTTATTTACAGAATTTTTCTCCATTTTTACAAAATTAATTTGAACTATGCATACATGCTTTTTAAAATATAGCATAGTGTTTAATTATGAGGAGAAATGTGCTTTGAATTGCAGGACTATTACCCAGCCAAAGGGCAGTACTTCCACACTGCACAACTAAATTAGACAGGGGGCTAAAGTTTCAGAAGTATGTCCCTCAGAATCAAAATGCACATTTTGGGCAATAGAGGGAAGGGCATTAAAAGAATGCAGAAATACAGATGAAGGAAAGAGGAAAATGTATTTCTGATCATGTTGCATAAGAAAATGAAACATTCCTTGGCTGCGTATTATTGAAAGAAAAATCTTCATCAGGGTCCAGTCCAAGCTGGGAATAAACAAAATGGAGGCTGTTTAGAAAGAAGGTTCTTTATTGAGTTGCAGAACCATACAGAAATATGGCTGTAGGGCAGCTGACCACATGGAGCTGGGAATAGTGGATTTTTATACCTTTTTGGGCTTTTGTGTTTGGACTTGTTCCTGTAGCATGAACTTTGACCTGAGGTTCTTTGTGCCTTTTTGGTATTCTGACGGTGGTGGGTTAATCCTATTATGTCCTAAAGGTCATGTTCTGCTTCCCTGGGACTGTGGCTGATGGCTATGTCCTGTGTTCGATTTTTTGGGTGAGAGGGGTTGCTGGTTCTAATTCTATCACTCTGCTATTGTTAGCTATCAGTTTTGCTGCAAGGGATTTCAAAATATTTTGTCTTGAATGGGCTTCTGCCTGCTAGTATTTGCTCATAAATGGGGTCTCAGTCTTTCTGAATGGGATTATCAAATCTGCATTTCTACAGAGCTGGCCTGCTTAGTTTTTGCTTGGGGCTATTAAGAAAAACTGGGCCTGCTTTTCTGCCTTTAAGATCCTTTGGGGAAATACAATATTCTGCCTTTTTAATATTCCCCAAAATATTTCCTTCTCTGGAGGGGGGCTTCCTACAGTATAGTAATATAAATTCAAATGCACACATCTCTTTCTTCTGAAGCTGAGTCTTTTCTCAGAAGAGTGTATCAATCCAGAGTGTGTAAGAGGCATTCTATCCTCCCACACTGCCTTGCCAAGAGCCAAGAAATTGCAACGAGCTGGTAATCTTATACAGAGTGGTTTTAGCCTCCCAGTAGTACTGTAATCTGCACAATATTATTGTTATTAGGATTCAAATGCACTTACTTGCACAACTAGAGCTAACTTAAGAGCTCAGTTTGTTTACTTTTGCTGGCATTACTATACAGACAACACTTTGGTTCACAAAGCTCATACGTGCTTTTAGTTTTCCTAGATTGTATAACAAAAGAGGAAGAAAATGCCTTGCCAAATAAAACTGAAGCCGAACTAGCAATATATGATGCAGTACACCACTGTCTTTTGTATGAATATCTGCACAAGATGGATCAGACATTAAACAATTGCTTAAAGAACAAGGAAACACCATTTATATTTTAGACAGCTATTTAGCATTTCCACAATACATTTATAATACATGCAATTAATACTGTAATATATACCAAAGCAAATTGGCAAATGACTTTTTGTTAACCATTTTCATCTATCTGGATTGATGAAAATTTGGGTGATATATCAAGAGGAAAAGAACAGTTGGTGAAAATCCAAGCCTCGCACTTTGATAAAAATCCAAGATCCCTGCATATAAACAGAGTGCAAACTTATGCAAGAGAGAGGTTTGCGACAAAAGACTAGGACTAAAAACTTGATTTCTGAGACATATTTTTTATTTTACATTTTCCACATTTTACCTAGGGAATATCTTGGAGCACAGTCCGATACATGATTGGCGAAGTACAGTATGGAGGCAGAGTCACTGATGATTATGATAAGCGTCTTCTTAACTGCTTTGCAAGGGTAAAAAAATAAGATGAAACAGTTTTTAATCAAATAAAACTAAAGAATGGTTTTAAAATATACTTTCAATACATTAAGACAGTCACTGTAAGAAATACATCTTCTGGTAACAGTTTTTTTTTTAATTTTTATTTATTCCTTTTTCACTATACAACAAAAATAAAAATGAAAAATACATTTTTTTCCCTTAACAGAACTGTGTTATACATCTCATATATATTATTTACAATTTATTTACATCAGTAATCATATCTTTTTCTTTCTGTGTTCTAGCCAATCATAACATTTGTTCCATATTTCATAAAATTCTGTTGCCTCGTCTTTTAATTCTAGCGTAAGTTTGTTCATTTCCGCACATTCTAGAAACAGGGTTTTGCTGGACATCTGACAGAACTCCTAGTGTCACAGAAGAACCGATGCCGGCCTTCGTTTCCTCCTGGCCCTGTTCTCTTCCTCCGTTCACTGCTAATGCTGGTTCACTTGCTCTCTATATACAACTGGAAAATTTTCTTTATTTCGCCTTCTCCTTGAAGGAAGTTTGGGCCAGTGCCAAATGAGTGGACAATGGAAACAAAAAGAAAGTGGATCCTTTAGGTTACCTTGCCTAAAAGTTTCCTAAAACTTGGAACCATAGTTGCTAGAAAATTAAAGCTTATTAATTTTGGATGCTGTATTTCCCTTAAGATCAATATATTATTAGGTCCTTGTAGCTAGATTGAAGAATATGCCTTTTTCATAGGTTTTTGTTTTAAGAGGGAAATTCCCAAATCATTAATGAGTCAATTAACAGTCTTGATGTACACCTATAGTTTGGCTTTAATGAGTAGCTGATTTCTTTTTTTCTACTTGAATCATATACTTAACTGTTAACTTTTCACCATTAATTTGTATAGGTCTGGTTCAGTGAGAAGATGTTTGAAAACACTTTCTGTTTTTATACTGGATATAAAATCCCAGTTTGCAAAACTCTTGAGCAATATCAGGACTACATTTCAACTCTCCCCGCCATGGATAGTCCTGAAGTCTTTGGTCTCCACCCTAATGCAGACATAACGTAAGTAGATCGAACAAGTTGATATTCAAGATTTTAAAAATAATTTTAGTAACAAAGGACATTTTACTGGGAATTTCAGAGTCTGAATAAATGCAAAATTTAAGGAAGCTTTCCTTAACTTCCTAAAGCAGTGGTGGCGAACCTATGGCACGGGTGCCAGAGGCGGCACTCAGAGCCCTCTCTGTGGGCACGCGCGTCGTCGCCCCAGTCCTAGGCCTTCAGCTGGGTTTTATAAAACCTTTTCGCTTTAGTCCTCCGCCGCCATGTGCAAAAAAAAAGGTTCAATCAATCAATTTCAACTTCTCACGGGAAAAAAAAAGATTTCGCAAAGTTGGAATTGATTGAACTTTTTAGTCCCACTGCAGCCATGCCCACCCAATTGGACACGCCCACCCAATGGGCCACACCCACCCGGCATTCGACGATACATAAGTGGATTTTGGGTTGCAGTTTGGGCACTCAGTCTCTAAAAGGTTCTCCATCACTGTCCTAAAGATTAAAGATTCAAGCTCATGCACATATATCTGGACTGAGCTCTGTTGAAATCACATGGACAACATTGTGCTGTAAAGTATAGCTATTGAAAAGTATAATCAGTGTGATTGTGCTATAAACATAAAGCATTTCTCAAATGTTTCAGGCATACAATTCAACAGCACCTTTATCCCACCTTAATATATTAAGTGATCTGATTGACACTTCTCCAAACAGAACATAGATTAAACAAATTGGAAGAAAATAAATAATTTTCAGTTTCTCAGGAAGTGCTTCTCGCTTAAAAATAAATTTTCACCCTCATCTGTTAAGCAGTTTCAAATAGAAATAAAATGCATGTGAGCATCTTTTTACCCTTACCAGGTTATTTCTTATTTTTAACTTCAAAAATTGTACAACTTATTGTAGGATATAATCAGTCTATGAAATTTGTATCCTTATAATTCATTTAATTCTGTAATGAATTATATAATTTACAGAATGTTCATTCTTAATATTTGGGGATTGTTAAAAAATAACTAAAATGCCTCAGTTGCATTACCATCAAAGTCCAAACACTTTGTTTCTATTTAGTCCTTCTGTTTTACTATGTTCCATGACTTTCATTATGAGAATTTGTAGATCATTCATATTTTCAGTTATCAGAATAATATCAGGCTCTTAATTTTTCTTTCCTCAGTTTTAAAATCATGTTCATTTTCTTACACTCCAACTTTTCTTAATATATATTCTGCAGTACAGGTTGAATAAATACGGAGAGAGCATACAGCCTTGCCTCACTACGTTGCCATCATATTGTGACTTTTTGATCTGTATATAAGTTTTTAATAAAGGCAATGAGATGTTCTGGGATTCCCATTTTTTATGAGCCCTTTCCGCAGCTTGACGTGATCAACACAATCAAAGGCCTTTTTATAATCAATGAAACACATACTGACATTTTTGGTATTTGACTTTCTCAATTATCAGAAATAGTGTCTTTTAATAATAATTCCTTGGTCTTTTCTAAAACCAACTTGTATATCTGGCATCTCCCAGAAAGAAGAGAAAAGGCATAAAGAAAAAAAATTATGACATAACAGTTGCATCATCACTGTAGTATGGCCTGAGGGTCTATTTTAAGCAAAAGGAAAGACTTAGCAACTATCCTTCAAGGCTCCTGCCTCGAGCAGAGGGTTGAAGCAGGGCTAGAGTCCCTTCTAGCCCTATGACTCTATGTTCTATGCTGCTCCAAAGGCAGCATATCCCAGGGTATAGGAACGACTACCAAGAAAGCCTGACATTTCATCCCAAGCCATAGCTCTCGCAAGACAGGCAGTTTCTCAATAGGTGACCAGATTGGATATCAAAGCATGCTTAGAAAAACAATTCCTGATATACTACATAAGGTTTTATGGGTAATACCCAACACTTTGAACTTGGTACAGAAAACTACCGGTATAGGTATTCTACCTAAACAATAGGTAGAATTCTACAACAGTGTATTTCTCCAGTTAGTAGCATTGCCACCACCTTCTGTATCAGTTGCAGTTTCTGATATATCTTCAGACATAATCCCATATAAATTGCAACAGTCCAAAGGTGTGGTAATCAGAACATAAGCATTTTGGTAAGGGTTGGATTGTAATTGACAGTGATAATCATTTTATTTATTTATTTAAAACTTTTATATAGCTGCCCATATTGAACCGAACCCTGGGTGGCTTGCAACTAAAAAAAACCAATATGTATCTATAATAAAAACATTAAAACCAAAAGACCTGGAACTACAGCTAAACGTTCCCATGCAATGCACAAGTTCTTGCCCTATCCTAGCATTTGGGGGGAAAGCCAGTTCTTAAGTGTTTTTTTTTTTAGGTTAAAAGTGTGGGGGCCTGCAAAATCTCAGAGAAATGGTGATCCATAGGAAAGAGGCTGTCAGGGAAATGGCACTCATCCTAAATCCTAAGGGAAGGCCTTAGGAACATGCCCACCCTTTCAAATCTGATAGGGCAGGCAGATGTCCTTGGGGAAAGGCAGTCCCGTGCCATGCAAGGCTTTCAAGGTAATAACTAGCAACTTGAATTTTGTCCAGAAGGAAATTGGGAACATGTGCAGCTCGCTTACAGATAATCTGTTTCTTTAAGCATTCTATATAGCTAATTCCACATCAGTTTCTCAATAACCTCATTTGGAATGCTAGGAAACTCTTCATGCAGCAGCTTTTTTTAAAAAAAGTAGTTTGGTGTATGAGTTGAGAATTCCATCCACCATGCATACTTAAAGAACAATATACTGAAGGAAGTAAATGACATTTCTAGTTTGAGAGACTAGCATCTAACTGTTTGGGGAATCTACAGAAGCTTTAGATTTTTCTCCACAGGTCCTTCCTTTACCTCAAATTTTCTGCTTTAAAATTTAAAAAACTGAAAACCCATTTGGAGCAGTAATATCTCCCTGTGCTTTAAAAATATTTTCAAAGCAATACTGAATTTGTATACAGAGCACATGTTTACTACCTGTAGATCTTGAAGACAATCTGGTCAAGAATATCAAATTGTTCCCAAAAACTGCAAAGCAGTTCAGGGCCTCACAAACTCAAACCTGAAAGTTTGCCTAATTAAAAGTTTCCAAGTTCTTCCCCTCCTTTTCAGAAAAGAGGATGAGGTAAGGGAAAAGATACAAGACAGAAGCCTGCTGAGATAGGTCAACAAAGTGCTTAGTATTATACATGAACACAGCTGTGGTTTTTTAACTAATAATCAAAATTGTGTTTCATATTATGAGCTGATAGTTGGCCTTGCCTGTTTTAAATACTCAGAAATATACAAAAGCCATTTTCTGGTTACATTCAAATGTCATGGCCAATCATGGTTTGATCATCTTCAGTTTAATGAATTTGTTATCTTTTCCCCCAGAAATAGCAGGAATCAATTGAATTGCCTATGGCTTTTTATTGTGGGTTATTTATAGCAATCCTATTTGACAACTTACATGTTCTGACTTTATTACATATCATTTAATATTCCTTTCAGATACCAGAGCAACACAGCAGCTGATGTCTTGAACACTATTACCAATATTCAACCAAAAGAAAGTGGAGGTGGAGTAGGAGAAACTCGAGAAGCTATTGTGTATAGACTAGCTGAAGATATGCTTGAGAAACTGCCCCCTGATTATGTACCCCATGAGGTAATTGTTCTACAGTACACATAAGCATGAAAATACTGATCCATAGTGGTAAATTTCTTGTATTGTTTAAGAGTGCTGAAAGGAAATACTCTTCTCAACCCCTTCTTTGTGTGTCAATTTCACACATGCTATTGGGCAATTCTTTTTCTAGTCAAGATCCACACTTGCCCCTGAGGGCCATAGAATTATCATGGTTGTGTGATGCTATAGAGTTACAATTTGGGGGGGAGGGTGTGAGTTTTATGGTATCATTCAATATATTTTACAAAAGCAAAACAAATAAATAAATATCACCCTGGCTTTATCTTCTTTGTAGTCAAGTATCAGAAGTGGGGGGTGGGTTCTGGATATTATACAAATAGCTCTGTTGGACTGTATGGAGCAGCTCTTTCAATTTTGCCAGAGGATCATAAATAATAATATAAATAATACAGCAATTATTAAAACTATATTTTGTTGGCAAATGTCTTGGCAAAATGCAAAATGATGTCTTTGGACAAAATGAAATGTTGCATTCCAACAAAAGAACCTCATCGTAATTTATTTTTTATGTATTTATTTATTGATTGATCCAATTTATATGCCCACCCTTCTCAGCAAATGACTCTGAGCAGCAAATAAAATTAAAATACCATAATTGTAGAGCATGAAATTGGGGCTATAATGGCTTGGTCTGTTTTCTAGTAGTCTCAGACCATGAACAGTATGGCTTGCAATAATTTAAGGAACACTGTATTTGACTCACCTTGGACCATATATTTATTCTTCTGAGGGATTTCCATAGGACAGTATTACCTTGTTTTTCAATATGCTTTCAGCATTGCTTGGCTGAAAGCCTGACATTAAATATGCATTTTCAAAGCTCTTAGTATCTTAATTCCAAGGGGCTTGTCTTATTAAAAAGTCTACAGCTGGTGATTCTCCACTACTCATTATTTATATCTCTTCGAATAATTCTTGGGTTAAAAAGAGCTAAAATCACTTTCCTAGGGCTGCACTAAATGTTAATGAAGAAGAGGCAAAAGGGGAAGCTTTGAGGGCAAATAATTTCAAAACCTATCCCTGCTTCTTTTGTTTCTCATTCACTGGTGTCTGTTCAAAGCTGCTTCTTTTCTTAATATGTGTTTTTGAAAACACTTTTCAATTTTAAAAAAAAGAATGTCTTGCTGAGGTGATCTTGTCCTCCCCACCTCCAGCCACTGAAAAAGATGTTATTGCATGATAATACCAGGAAATAATATTAGAATAAAGTTCTACTTCAGAATGAATGAATGAATGAATGAATGAATGAATGAATGAATGAATGAACGATGAAATGCATTGTCCTGCTTTTTAACCCTCTGCTTCCAATACACCTGAATAGGACTTTTATTTTTTAGAGAATAGTTTCCTGACATGCACCCATCCTGCTTTAGCCAGACTCTAAATCTGCTGTTAGAAGAAATTCTCAGGTGCTGCATAAGGAGAAAATGAGTCCCTTTATGATGTTAAAATCTGAATTTCATTGTATATGTATCTAATTACTCTACCTGAAGGAAAAATTATTAGCTAATCATTTACCAATGAGAATGTTTCCCTTGATTCCATATTTCACATCAAAGGTCATGTGTATCCCTAGATTATAATAACTGCAAACAACTGCAAACAAATAAATTTTCATATTTATAGTCAAGGTGCTGCAAATATTGGGGGATCTGTGCTGCCTTTTAAAACTCCAATGAGGAGCTCAAGAGCAATGAGAAAAGATGCTATAAAGATTCACCCAGAAGAGATATGAAAGAATAAGACAAATATTAAAGTTGTAATTTCTCCTCTTGCTTAAAGAAAAAACATAAAAGCTTTATTAAATGTAGTACATATTTACTGTTGTTAGTTACCATACTTATTTCTCAAAATTTAATGGTTACTTGCATTGTCTGCAACAATGGCTTACAAATCTTAAATAAACATAAGAATACAATAATTGCATTGCCTTTCACTAACTGGATGGTCATTTCCATTATATATCTGAGCTTAGATTATCATAATGTCTACTGATTTAAGGCACATTCCACTGAGGGCAGCTCACAGATATTCTCCATTAGAATTCATGGTGGCTGCATAGAATTTCTTCATGACTATTTGAACACATACAGGAATACTAGAGTTCTAAAGATACACTTGGTTTTGCAGTAGCATTATAATACTTCTTTCTGTTGAAAAAAAAAAGCATGATCTCTGAGCTTGCTTCTTTTCTTGCAGATGTTTCATTACCCAAAGTAGGTAACATCAGTGCACCTCATTTCAACCCTGAGCTACAAATATTCTTCTGTGTTGATAAAGCACGATCAATTTCTGGATTGAACTCTTAATTTGCTTTTCATTATCTACTGTCTTTATTCTCACATATTCATATGATTTCCTACAAATATTTTCACAATAGCTCACCAAACAAATATTCAAAGTTAATTTAGGCCAGCCCTATTGTAAGAGTGAGGTTGCACTTCAAACTGGTGTACCATCAAAGAGCAAAATATGTTCATTATCAGGGTTATTATCAATGGGGTTTATTGTCATTTGTGATATTCTGCCTCTAGCACCAAATGAGAACTATAGTAGACTTGGCTGGGAAGAGGAGAAGGAAATTGCTGTTTACAGTGCTAATGCACATGAACATATAGGCAGATCCTATATAGTATTGTAAACAGGAAGACTGTTGCTTGAATATTCTTCATGTAGGATAACGCTATTCTAAATGCTTTATTATTGACTTGTTTTCTTTTAATTACTTTTATTTAGGTAAAAGCTCGTTTAATTAAAATGGGCCACCTTAATTCTATGAACATTTTTCTTCGCCAAGAAATTGACCGAATGCAGAAAGTTATCAAAATAGTCCGAAACAGCCTCCTTGACCTTAAATTAGCCATAGAAGGAACTATTATTATGAGTGAGGTAACTAAGTACAGTATTATATATAATTATGCATTCTGAAATAAAGCCTTTTTCTATTCAAATATATAATTACATGTTTAATCTTTTACTTCTCTAGAACTTAAGAGACGCTCTTGATAACATGTATGATGCTCGAATTCCTCAGCTCTGGAAGCGTGTATCATGGGATTCTTCTACCCTGGGTTTCTGGTTTACTGAACTTTTAGAGAGAAATTCCCAGTTCCGTGTTTGGATCTTTGAAGGAAGACCACATGTATTTTGGATGACTGGATTTTTTAATCCTCAGGGTAAATATCATTTATTATACATAAAATAAACAATATGTTCTGTTATAAGAGTGGAGTCTTATTAGTCTATTAAAAAGCATAACTTTTCCATTTCATTTGATTTATTCTATCACATCCATATAGGAGTAGAGGCAGGAATCCAATATATATAAAGAATTTTTTTTCAATTGCATGGTTATAAATTATAAATTACTGTTCAGGATTTCTGTTAGATTCATGTGAAAGTCACATTTCTCTTTATCTGATTATTTTAAAAAAACCAGTGGATAGAGCATCATTTAAGCCATACATATTAAATATATACAATTCTTTCTAAAACTGTTAACATGTACAAGCTTGTTTCATATAAATGAAAGTCAATATGCATGCACTATCAAGGATCCCCCCCCCATTTTTATGTAGAATTTTATTACAACTTGAAATTACTAAATCAACAAAATTCTGCATTTCATAAAGTGATTTAAAAGTACAATGTTCTTTTAAGGATTGTCTTTGAAATTCTTATCCTAGTCATGATTAGAGGATTATCTACCCCTCATTGGCACCTTTCTTTTATTCACAAAAGACATTTACAGATTTTTTTGGAAAAGCAAAAGAGGAAGATAAATAATTGCAGGAGAATACAAGTCAGAATTTGGTATCATCAATATTGTATTTTTCTTATTTTTCTTGTTTTTTTATTTACCCATATTTTGTGTTAGGTAATTGTGGCTGAATATTTAAGTGGTTTTTTTATGTGAACATTTTAGCCATTGAACACTCCAGTATAAAAATGTATACAAGAAAAAGGTTGTGTTAAACTTGTCTTATTCTTTGGCCTGTTTTACAGGGTTTCTAACAGCTATGAGACAAGAGGTTACACGAGCGCATAAAGGCTGGGCTTTGGATACAGTGACCATCCATAATGAAGTACTGAAACAGATCAAAGAAGAAATCACTGCAGCCCCTCCTGTAAGTATATCATGGATACATCCTTTTTTGCATTAATTTCCAAACTACGTCTATGTTCTAATAATTCTAATCTGGTTTTTTTTTTAAAAAAAATGTTTGGTTTGTATTTGCTTTAGATTTTTCAACAATGAAATGAACTATAAAAGAAAGAAAGCACATGTGTTTTTCACTTATGTAGCCCTAACATACTCCTTTCCTATCTTCCACCACCAAAGTAGCAAAAATAGAGGAGGGAGTTAGAGGAGGATGACATCCCTGTAACAAAAAAGCCAAAAAAAGCCAACACAGTGCTAGGCTGCATTAACAAGAGGGATAGAATCAAGATCATGTGAAATATTAATACCACTTTACAATGCCTTGGTAAGGCCACACTTGGTGCATCCAGTTTTGGTCACCACGATGTAAAAAAGATGTTGAGACTCTAGAAAGAGTACAGAGAAGAGCAAGAAAGATGATTAGAGGACTGGAGGCTAAAACATATAAGGAACGGTTGCTGGAATTGGGTATGTCTAGTTTAATGAAGAAAAGGACGAGGGGGGACATGATAGCAGTGTTCCAATATCTCAGGGGCTGCCACAAAGAAGAGGGAGTCAAGCTATTCTCCAAAACGCCTGAGGGCAGGACAAGAAGCAACAGATGGAAACTAATCAAGGAGAGAAGCAACCTAGAACTAAGGAGAAACTTCCTGACAGTCAGAACAATTAATCAGTGGAACAACCTGCCTCCAGAAGCGGTGAATGCTCCAACACTGGAAGTTTTTAAGAAAAGATTGGACAGCCATTTGTCCGAAATGGTATAGGGTTTCCTGCCTGAGCAGGGGGTTGGACTAGATGACCTCCAAGGTCCCTTCCTCCAAGGTCCCTTCCCCCTCGGGGGGAGGGGGACGACTTTGCAGGAAATATAGGATTCTACAAAGGATTTTTCTTATTGCATTTGTTCCTGCATTTTTTCTGACTCCATAATATTGTTTTTTTGTTAAAGTACATCAGATATGGATATAAGTAGAGATGTAGAAGTAAATAGATTTACATTTATATACCCATCCTAAGAAAAATAGATATTAGGGAATTAGAGAATATACAGGCTGAGTCCATGCCCAGATAGAAAGGTGCATAGAGCATAAAGCAGAAAACTACTTTTAATCTCACAGCCCAAAAAGTATTTCAATTCTTTTCAGTAAACACAAATATGTAAACATTGTTCATTACCATTCAGAAGCATTATAGATTGTTTTATTTTCTCAAATTGTGCTAGTATTTTTCCCTTTTTCAAGTTTTGCTAATTATACTATATTTTATACCAGACAGGTTAAATCAGCCAAGTTATGTTATAATAGTAAAAGCTGATAATTTTCTAACATAATAAATATTCATTCTTTTTATATAGGAAGGGGTTTATATCTATGGATTATACTTGGATGGAGCTGGATGGGATAGACGTAATAATAAGCTCACTGAATCTACAGCAAAGATTCTTTTCACTTTACTTCCTGTTGTACATATATTTGCAATTAACACAACAGGCCCAAGAGATCCTAAACTCTATGTTTGTCCCATTTATAAGAAGCCAAGAAGAACAGATTTGACCTATATCACTGCAATCTACTTAAGAACAACTGTATCTCCTGATCATTGGATACTGAGAGGAGTAGCTCTTCTATGTGACATTAAATAAATTCTAGTCCTTGGACTACAACAGAAACATGCAACGTTCTTCAGAACACTAGGGCACACAAATTAATTTTTCCTTAAAATTAGATACTCTGTTCCCTCTTTCTAGCAATTCTTATATAGTTGTGTTTTGTTTTCTAGCTACATTAAATCTTATTGTCAAAATGTAAATTCAATCTTAGTTTTGGTCTTTTTCTCCTTTCCATGATAATTGTACTTTATAACTAAAAGTATTATAGTATTTGAATTAAATGGGACAGGTTTTTGGAATTTTTGTATGAGCTAGGTTTTTAAAAATGTATTTGTTAGAACCCAAGTTTTAACTGGTTTGTGAATCAACTGCCTGTCAGAAGCTATAGAAAAGCATTATTCCATTTTTGAAGGTATTGTGCAGAAAATGGGGAAATGTGTGTGGGCAGTTTTCAAAAAGGCATTGCAAGTAACAGCTCAGTTACAACATTCTTTTAAGCAAGCTTAGCTGGATTGAAAGCTAAGAAATTAAGCGGGGGGGAGGCATTTCTTTACATGAGATGTAACATACAGCCTTTATAAGCATAATGACAAAGGCTGCAGATTTTTACTACAGAGAATATTTTAATTTTTAGACTAACGTGCTTTTACAGGTGGGGAAACAGCACTTCCAGACTTACCTCTGAGGGCAAAATCTTCACAATGACCATTATGTCATTGTACTAACATTAGACATTGACATTGAACTTTCCCAGATATTGGGTGGCCAGCTCATAACTGCATACAGCTATCCATGGAAACTCGAGTAGACTTTTATAAGGGAGCAAGAATAAACAAAATTACAGTTATGGTAACCCTGAAACAAGCCCAGTTGTCTATGTTGCTCTACTATGCTAAGTACCAAGACAGACCCTAAGAAGAATATAAATTTCATTAGAGGGACCTTCACATATTTTCTTCTAATATGATTTATACCATCATCTGCCCTTCTGGATAGGAGGAACTTTGTGCAAAATAATTAAGGGATACAGGTCTGACATCAAGGCCTAAGAACAAAGTAATAGCAGAGCATTTCGATCTCTTAGGACATTTTCTTTCAGACTTCAAAATGGCTGTTATTTTGGGGGGTGGGGGGTGGGAGAGTTAAAAAGGGGCCCTGAATGAGAGATTCCTGCATTCACATACATAGAAAAGTTTCTGGCAATCTCAGAAGGTCCCAACAAACAATATGGGTTTTATAACATAATTACAATTGTTAATTGATAAAATACTGGTAAACTGTCTTACATTTAACTTATATCTGCATAACCTGTTTTCTCCTCCCTTACCTCCTGCTCCATTTAATTTCCGTTTAAAACATACAACCTCTAGCCACTATGTTATGCATCTGCTGAAGTAAAATACAGTTCCTGAAATACAACAGGCTAACATAAGGAATGCAGATCTAGGGTTGCCAGGTGTCCACTATTTGAGCGGACAGTCCGCTTTTTTCACATTATGTTCACTATTTTTTTTCACAAAATAGTGGACATTTTTTTTATTCAAAAGCTTTATGATGAAATGGTATGTAATCTAAAGCTGTACAGTCTACTTTTTTTACTACTTAACCCCCCCCCCCCGCTTGTCCGCTATTTTTTGGAAGCAGACCTGGCAACCCTATGCAGATCACTTTCCATATCATTGGCTGTTAGCTAAGAATGTTTTTTATTTCAATGATTTATGACAAAAATGTGTTTTCTTGGGGATTATCTATACTTGATCCATTTTGAATGCTCCAAATTAAGCTGTGCAGAAAGATAACTCAGCTCTGATATTCAATACCTCACAATCATAATTAATTAGCTGACAATTTTATACTCATTCCTGTTTAAATCTCGCCAAGTTACTTTTGTATGTATTCCATCAGTTATTTCCAGCTATCAAAATTTTGAGCCTAAATGTAATGATCTGCTTTAAGGGGCTGAATAGGATATGTTTGTTTTATTGATCAAAATTTGTATCAGACATTTAGGGCATGATTACCAATAATCACCAGATACTGGAAAAATATTTCACTGCCTGAACCTTAATAATTTATTTCCAGTTTCTTACCAAACTACTTGGTATGGTACAATGCTTTTGCAATACCTGTCTTAAACCATCTTTCTATCAATTAATCATAGACACGGCATGGGTGGTTTATTGCTATAGTAAATCAAAAGTATTGACATATCACAAATTTGCAAGTGGGGACTTATTTCCCTTGCTGATTATTCATTAAAAAACATTTCTCATTTCAGTCTAAAGGATTCTATTAGAAAAATAAAATTTGGGGTCAGTGAAGCTGATTCATTCAATCCTTCTCCAACTATTCTTTGAAACTGTAATACTTCCTAGAAATTAAAATAATTCTAAAAAGAAATTGAACTTAGATAGCCAATGATATATTCAGCAAGTCAATACCCCTTGATCTGGTAACCTGTAAACATGCTGGAATCCAGGTTACCCAATTCCCACCGAGCATGGCTAATGGTGATATCAGCTGGCGATCATGGATATTGAACATCCAACACACGTGAAGGATCCTGGTGAAAAAAGAGGGTTTAAAGTTGCATTTTACCTCATATCCTTGGAAATCTGATATGCCACAGGTGTCAAACTCACGTCACATGACATGTCGTGACGTATTGCCGGAACTGGTGTGGGCGCGGCCTCCATATGATGCAACTGGCCCATGGGTTGGCAGTTTGACACCCCTGTGACATGGGATGCATGCCTTGCTTATCCCTGTTTTTTTTTCTTTAAAAAAGTCAGAACTTAAGAGTTTCCTCTAAAGCATAGGAAAAAATGAGTCAATACTGACGTTTTTATCACTGAATGACAAATTCTGATCCATAAAGAAAAATACTTATACTGCACCCACTAACAGGATGCTTGAAAAATGATATGGGGGCAGGAAAAGTTTGGGAAACAGAATTAGTTAAAGAGAAAAGTCTTTGGAATTCACCTTTTTAGTTACATATGACATACATAGGGGAAGATGGAGGAAGATGGAGATTGACTTTAAAATTTATACTTTTCATATAGGCCCTTTGTTATTCTACAATGCTGCAGTCTAATAGGAATCACGTAGACTTCATCCAACTAGAAAGGATAAATCTTCATGTTCATTTTCCTCAGTACAGATTTCAATTCTCCAAATGATTTGTTTCAACAGCTTGAGCTAATGTGTCCCATTATGGCTCCTATGTCTTTGTTCCTTGCAGCTTTTAGTGATTGGGGGGTGGGGCCCTATTTATGCTTCCTATTCTCATAAGAAAAAAAATCTGAAAGACATCTACTTCTTACTGATTAAAAATGCTCAAAAAGAGGATCTTTCCCCTCTGTACTCCCTCTATATTCTTTTTAATAGCTGTAGCTATTAACAGGAAAGCATGTATTCTCCAGAGCCTCAATGAACTCTTTCATTTTTTCTGTCACTGTCAGGGACTAAAAAACAAATAAACAAAATAAAACTTTCTAATACACAATCTAAAACTCTCTTCAGAAGCATAGTACATATTTCTCTTTAGTACAAATAAAATCTGAGGATTTTGCAGCTTCCAGAAATACACGGAGATAATGTAATGATACTTCCCTCTTTATTAAACAGGGCCAAATGTAACATTTTTTAGATGGGGATTGTACACCTGGTCTCTTGCTTCTCCTAAGGATTCCTTCTCTAAAAATAAAACAATTTCCATCTTCCAGCAGATCCAAAATGCCAATCCAAACAGTACTTAGAGTTACCATTTCTGGATGGAAAAAAATCTTGTCAGCTACTAGATGGCAGAAAAGACTCTTTGTTTTGTATGCCAAATTCAGAAATAATAAATTATATGCCACATTTAGTTCTGAAGTTATACTCAGCAGCTTCAAAGACCCTAAGAACAGATTAAAAATAATCAAAAATCAATGCTATAAAAGTATAAAGTGGAGAGATGTATACCCACATTACCATTCCCTTTCAAAGTAATCAATATTGTGTAAAGCATAGAAACCAAGAATGAAATATTAAGCTAAGGTATAATGTAAGCAATTAACAGTGTAATATTAGAAAAGGAAATACTGTATAGCTAAACCTGATTCATATCAACAGCATTCACTATATCTAACCATCTATAAACAAATAGATTAAATATGTGGAAAATATAAAATGATGACCAAGCACATAGCATAACAACTCATTCAGTCAGCCCCTAATGCCTGGAGGGAAAACCAGATCTTTAGACCCTTCCTAAAGGCAAAGAAGCCTGTCATATATTGGGGAAGATCATTCCAGACAGCAAGGACAATCTCAGAAAAAACATGTTGTGTAGAGTGCATTGCAATAGCCCAATCAGGAGGTGACCAACATGTGAGTGATCATGAATAGGGTTTCCTGATCCAGGTAATTGGTGTAACTGGTGCACAGGATGCAGATGTGCAGAAGCTGCTTTGGTCACAACTGTGACCCATTCTTTGAGCAAGAGCTGTGAGTCTAGGAGGATCCCAGATTTCTCACCAAGTCTGAGCTGGATTGTGCCACCCCATCCAGAATCAAAAATGGATATTCCGCAACTCCTGGATCTGAGGGGACCCCAAACCCATAGCCATTCAGTCTTGACAAGGTTGACCTGTTCTTCCTCATCCCTAATAACAAAATGAGCAAATGTACAGTATTATACACAGCCATTTACCTGAACTAGAAATTCAGGTAAATGAACTAGAAATTCAGATAAATGAGGGCAGATATGATATTGTTGCCATTATGGAAACATGGTGGGATGAAACCCACAAATGGAACACACAGCTAGAGGGATTTAAATTATTTAAAAGAAACAGACCAAATAAAAGAGGAGGTGAAATTGCTCTCTATATAAGAAATAACTACATCTCTACAGAAATAGAGCACAACAATGATGAAAACTGTCTTGAATGCATTTGGGTCAATATAAAAGGGGGGGGGGAAATGACATTGCCATAGGTGTATACTATAGGTCACCCAACCAAACAGAGGAAATACTGTAGATGAAC